AAGGCCTCTGCCTCACTCCCCTGAATGTCCTCTTCATCCTTCTCTTCTTATTGCCCACAACTATTTTCTCCTCTTCATCTTGATCTTTCTCCTCATCTTCTTCTTCCGGCACAACATTTTGAATTTGAATTTGATTTTGATTTTGATTGTGATTGTGATTATAATTTCCGTCTTGGAAATAATTGCATCCCAAGCAGCCAACAATCCGGCACACCTCGCACGTGTCGCCACTGGGAAACCAGAGTTCAATAGCTGGAAGCTGAGCGTCGTCAAAAGCTGCTAGAAGCTGGTACTGGGTGTGGGTTAGCCCAATTCTGCCGTCGCTGACCACGTGTGTCAGTGCCGAAACCATGATCGAATGCTCCTCTTCAACTGCTAATTTACACGTCGAATGAAACGGCGCAGAATCCAAATCTCCGGAAGAACCAGACATCCGTTTTCTTGGAAACTGTGAGAGCTGTAGTTGGAAGTGGAAAATGGTGAGTGGAAAATGGTGAGTGAGTGAGGGTGAAGGGAGGCGAAGGAATTTGTATGTATAAAGATTTTGGTGGAGAGTCTACGTGGCAGTTACACACGGTTTATACGACAGAAGGAGTGGAGGTCGGCACGTGGGGTAAATCCAAGACGGAATTTGGATTACAGACTGGGATTCCAAGTTTGCCCAAACTGCGGAGAGGACACGTAGACCAGCTTCGTTGATGTGTGACGTTGGCAGCTCCAACCAAAGAAGTCTCACCACCTTTACAATTCTCGAGCCGGAACTCAATTTATTTCTGCTGTCGTGGCGCCTCCATGTCCTCTCTCTTTTCTACTTTATGGTACACGTGTAACTTCATCCTGCTTTCTCCTCTCTTCTGGTTCAATTACGACTTTGCCCTCCCGTCAATTTTTTTGTTTTCTTTCCCCCAAATAGTAATTTTAATTCATTATTTGTAACGTTAAAGAAGATTGGTGGTTAATTGAGTAATTCTCAGTTTATCATATTACCTTATTGAAAAATTTCAAGGTAAGAAAGATGAATATTTTGTGTAGCCTCATTTAAAAAAAAAAAAAGATGGAAATTATAATTCCTATTGCAATAATCTAAATAAATAAATAATGATGAGCAAGAATTGTAGAAAAGAGAAACATATTTCCATTTTAAATGGAGGTGAACATAGTTTTATTTTTTAAAATACAAAACCCAAGTCCAGTTGATCGTTACTCACTACAAAGTCTGTCTCGTCCCTATGTATTAAAATAAAAAATAGAAAGTGTTAAGAATATTATTATAAAACAAATATCTTATATTTACTTTATTATTATATTGTTATGAAATTCTTGTAATTTATTTGATTATAACTAGATGAATAAATCAAATCTTCTTAAAAAGATTTGATTGATTGAGAGGACATTTTATGTACTGTGTACCGTGTGCATAGGTGGGAATTAGGTTGTCACGGAGGAATGATAAGGCGCTGTCCCACACTCTCCAAGCCCAACTTTTTTCCTTTTTCTATTTATAACACAAACCCAACTCTCTTCAAATAGCCAGAGACAGAAATATTCCACCTAAGCTAAAATACCTAAAATTAATTTCTCTTTTCAAAAAATTCATGTTAGCAACTACTTCTGCAATCATCCTTTTTCTATCGATAAAAACTACGATTATTTATGAAATTTTCAGAACTATTTTAGTTTTTATACTTTAAATTTAAATCTATTTTTTCATACAATTTTTGGGTTCAAAAAATTTAAAAAAAATTAGGATACTAATCGTCATTGATGAGATTATAGCAACAATAATAATAGTAATTTAGGATAGAATTGCGTCACTGCTGAGAGAACTGTTGACGACTTGAAAAGAATTCAAACAAAAAAAGACGGCACTGTAGTTGTCCACACCACAACCACTTAGCAGCTGGCTGATACTGACACTCACAATTCAATGTCCTTTCAAAATCTGCATGTCCCTTTCTGCATCAAAATTCAAAACTTTACAAATTTAATTTTGTTCACACCTCTTTTTACTATTTTTCAAAATGTTTAATCTGAGTTTTTATTTCTTTTATGCATCAACCAAATAACACAAACCCCACAGTCAGTCCAAGAAAATAAAAAATAAATAGAGCCATCAACTTAGGACAATTCGTTTGAGATAAAACCAAAATCCTATATTAAAGAGTTTTTATTAATTGCTTTTTATTTTTTTGAGACAGCTCAAATGTCTTTTATGTTTCTTAATTCTTCGGGCCTTAATTAATTCGTCGGAGCTTTTAAAATGTTTTTTTTTTAATATATTTAATTTTGAAAATGACTTCCTTCCTCGCATTATGACATGTTTTTATTGTGTGGTTGAGAGTGACCCGGGACCATCGTCGGCTAAACGACAAAAAAATATATTTTATAATCACGTGCCAAAGCGCAGCCATTCCCACTACCCATTTCTATTTTATATCCTATCTGAAAATAGAATCACCAAAACATTTTCTTTTATAAATAAACGTTTCCAAAAACATCTTTTTTACAAATTTACCTTTCCAGATAATTTTATCAAATAAATAATTACTAATTACTTAATGACTAAATAATTAACATATATTCTAATTACTTAATTAAATTGTTTAAAACTTGAGTTGGTAGGCTAACGATCCACTTTTTCACGGACTTGGGCCATGGACCCTAACTCATTGACAGATAAATAAATAAAACGGACAAATTCAAAAGGAAATCTAGGCCCAAGGCCCAAGTGTAATTGGATCCTTATGGTTGACAACCCACGTGTGCCACCCCATCGGCCTAAAAGAAAATTATAGTTTATAGTTCGATCTTTAAGTCTTATAAAATGAATTTCATTCATTCAACGTCTGTTCTATCTTAGGAGTTCGTCCCTAAGAGTAGGTTATTTCTGGCCTACACCTTAGGATAGTTCCTTCAACCTAAGCTCAACTTAGGAAAATTTAGCAAAATCTAATTCAAGATGTCGTTATGCCAGTCTCTTTCATTATTATCATAATTCAAAGCCTGCATCGTAGGCCCTTGAAGTGCAATCTCGATATCAATCTCGTAGAATTCATGTCTTTTAAGATTCAACAAACTCTCAATCAAGTTAGGTTGACGATTAAGTGCTAGTTGACAGACCCCTAATCATTCCTATATGACAGCTAAAATCACAAACATATACAATAGAGACATAATATACTAATTTAAACATGGTTTAAGTTTCACTCGAATCAGAGCTCAACTCATGTCTTTCTCGAAAAAATGTAACATTTAGCGTACTCTTACATAAGATAAATCAACTTCCTCCATACTCAAATCTTGATAATTTTTTCTATAACGTACTATTGATAATACTAACGGCATGTTTTTAGTACCATTTAAATTAGAGTTCCATAGATTATTTATTGAGAAACATTTGCGGTAACATGCAAATCAATTCAGTTTAGACATAATTCTTATATTATGTTTTTATACATACTGCAAACATAGCTTAAATAAAAGGTTTCGAAGTGTTATTTACTTGGAATGGACGGTACATTTGGGTGAGGTTTAGTTCTTTAAAAATTATAAATTTCATCTAATTCCACAAATATGCTCTACATTAATTAGAGAATAAAAATTGATGAAGGCTAAAAAAAAATGGACTCAGGAAAGCTTTGAAAGGTCAAAAGTCTTACTCTTACGTTCAGCTGACATCATCATCCTGTCACTGATGACCTAATCTAATGACGTCACTTCTGACTTTTTTCTTCTTCTCACCCTTTTTTTCCAGAAAATTCCTTCTCTCCTTGCTTACTTTCGCCTCTCGTAGCTCTCATTCTAAGACACAAATGAATTTTCTTTCTTCAACAAAGTTGTAGTAATCTTCAAGCTGAACCCATAGACACCAGGATCGCGATTTTTCATGAAAAAACGAGCAAGTTATTAGCGCTTGAAGTTCTGAGTTTGTTTGTTTTTTTTTTTTACCAGAACTTACCTACACATTTTTCCCTGTGCTCGGTTCTTCCGCCACTCATATCTCATGTTGTAGGCACTAATTGAGATTTCTCCATTCACAAATCTTGTAGATCTCTTCCACTAGAATCTAATGGGACCAAAACCGCAGCGTTTGGTTAAGGTTTGAAGAAAATATGAAAGGTCAAAGTTGTGAGGAAAATCCATCAGTCTAACAAAACTTTCAACAAAATCTCCCTCATCCGCACGATGTTTGTGACCATTTTCTTCCTTCACGAAGTCAGCAACACCTTGAGGATGTTTATCTCAAGTGTTGAGTCTAAACGGCGAGTGAATCACCGTGAATCTGTGCTGGGAGCATCGCCGGCAAAGTGGAAGAACCTTTTTTTTTAGTTAACTGCTGATTAATATAGTAATTAAATGTACTCCACTAAGTTGATTAACATAGTAATTACTTGCTTAAACAACAAACTATAAAAATATAAGACACTTTTATATAATTTAATTTTAGTGATTAAATTGTTAAAAAAAAAAAAAAAATTCATCAATACTTATTAAAGTTCACTAAGACCCTCATAGAACATATACCGTCCTTGCGATAAAATTGAAGCTCTAACGACTTCCTCAGAAGACAGGGAAGAGACGATTACAGAGCATCAGTCAATGCATCCAATGTACCGACTAGAGAGAAACAAGAACATTGCTTAATCTTTCACTTTGACAATGTTATTGAATTTGCTCAATAAACAATGGGTCCGCTCTCGAGGCGACTCGATGAGCAACTAACTAGTAGTGAAGTGACTTGCTACTTTCAATCATAAAAAAAAAAATATAGAGCAAGGCTATTCAAAAAAACTTTGCAGGGTCAAAGAAGCATACTTAACTCAAGTGATTCGAATTTGAATCACCTAACGTAGAAGTGTTCATTTGATGACGTTTTGAGGAAGTGAAAGATTAACTGAAATTAAAAGGATGAATATGAGGAGTTTGAAGTCTAAATATTTTTTATATTAGTTATAGAAGGTGTGGATAAGGGGGGGATGGATATGGATCACATCCCATGAAAGGAACAACAAGACAAGGTACGATAATAAAAGATGTGGTTTTTAAAAACATAACAAAGATTTTGAAGGTAAAATAGATGGGACACCCCTTTACCTTTCATCATCTCCACCCTTCTTACATTTTGATCTCTACAAACTACTACATAGAAGTAGTAGTTATTATATTATTATAATATTATTATTACTGGTACCAAACGCCCTCCCACCTCAGTTGCCGGCATCGCTGGTCGTCGCCAATGCCTCCTCCATCTCAGCCGTCTTCATCACTTTCGCCTCCGGTTCATTGCCGCACACCTCCACTTTCTCCTCCTCTTCTCTTTTGGTCTTATTCTTATCATTATTCTTCTCTTTCTTCCCTCTTTTCAGCCAAACCCCAAACAGTTTCAGATCACCTGCATTCTCTTCCTCCATCTTCTCCCCGTTCACGTTCAGATCTGCAACCTTCTTGTTGTTGTTGTTGTTGTTCTCCAGTTTCTTGATGATTTTGTCGATCAGTTCCGGCGCCACCTTCAAATCGTCAGTCATAAAAGCCACGAGGTGGTTGCACTTCTCTTTCGCTTTGGCTAATTCAAGCTTCAGCATCTCGTTCTCCTTCCTTAATTTGTTGTTCTCATCGGTCATATCCGCGAGTTGCGCCATTGTTTCCAGGTCCACAATACCTGGATTCTTCGAATCCGGTGAGGAACTCGAAGTGGATCCGATTTCCTCCCCGGAGTAGTAGGACGGGGAAGAGTTGCCTCCCTCGCTGGATTTGGATCGATGGCATCTGTGCGACGACTTCCGGCGACGAATTTTGGAGAGGAGTTCGTTCTGACCGCGACGGAAGTTGTTGTTGGTGAATTCCCATTTGTCAGGCACGATTTTCCGAAAACCCTAATCAGAAAACAAAAAAAGAATTAAAAGCTTTTGTATAAAATGTGTTTTCATCCGCGTGAAAAGACATTTATAACCCTGGACTCCTCCAGGTATTGTTTTTGAGAAATGTTTGCATAGAAGAGAAATAGAGAGTGAGGGGTTACGTAAGTATTAAGCTGACGGACAAAGCTAGAGAAATTGTTGTGCTTGAAATAATTGGGCAGCAAATCTGAAGCGAACTCGGAAGTCTTCCATACGATGAAAGTTGATCCAGTTTCATTCCAGGAAACGATGTCGTCGGTGGCAGGATCGTCGACGAGCTGGTAGGCCTTCACCAGGAAGGGCGCGGGGTGCGACATGTGTGCCATGGATGAAGCTTGTATTAGATGATTAGATTGTAAGAAGAGGAGCGGTGGTGAATTCCCAAGCTTGGAACCTCAACTCCCTTTATAAAGAAGAAGAAGGGTAGAAAAAGCAGGTTTTTGCTTTGAGTGCTTAATAATTACACCTCCCCAAATAATAACCCAAGCTTGGAACCTGGTTCGAACCTTCTAATCCGTTTCCTTCTTTTCTGTCTTTTTTTTTTTTTTTTTTTTTTTTTTTTTAATTTTAATTTTAATTTTGGAGGGGAGGCGTGTTATGTGTTATGCTATGAGCTTTTCACCCCTCGGGAATTTAAATGTGAACGGGTTGCCTTTTATATCATTTATTTGTATTCATCTTTACATCTTTTTTACAAAGCAAAAGGGAATGAATCGTGAAAACAGACGAACGTTACATGTTTATTTATTTTTTTCTCCTTCTGGGGTTTGTTGAGAAGATGAGGTTGAGGGGGGCAAACACGTAATTTTGCATAGAACAAGAGTGTAAAGGGGTTTAGGGGAAATCACAAGGTTGAGAGGGGTATTGCATTGCTTAATCCGTGTGGGGGTGAAAAAAGGCATGAGAAGGCTCCTCATTTTGTTGTTTTGTTCTTAAAACAAAAAGGAGGAGGAAGAAGGCTTGAAATGGAAAGCGGTTGAGATAAAGAATAGAGTGTATAAAAAGGTAGCGTAGATGGATGGGAAATGGTGCGTAGTAAGTAGACGTTTAATCTGTGTTGTCCATACAGTTTACAAGCATGCCGAAGGGGGGTGAGAGGGTGTGGAGGTTTTCCCTCCTTTTCCCCTCCTTTTCCCCTCCTTTCCCCCTTAACCCATTCAAATACGGCGCTGTTTTCCCTATTTTTGGCTTCACATCTGTCAAACAGGCTGCTCCGTAACCGTATAACCACATAATTTGGTTGCCTTTCTGTCACCCTAAATTGCAATCCCATATTTCCCATCCCCCTCCTCTTTGTCATTTCCTTCACACAAAATATGGAAACCCTCCTCTTTTTTATATTATTTACTCATTATTCACTCTTATCAACATACATATTCATCCCTATAATAACAATATACTTTAATTACTCTCTCTAATACAGTTACACATTCATCCCTATAATAACAATATACTTTAATTACTCTCTCTAATACAGTTACACATTCATCCCTATAATAACACTATACTTTAATTAACTTAACAATATGTAGCCTTTCAATTATGGGACTTAAATCTTTATAATCTCATTTTCTTCTGAACTTCTTAATAATTTTTGCAAAATTTTATCAATAAATTACACCCCATTCAAATAAATAATAACTAAATAAATAATTGCCACCATACTTGTTATCATACTACTATATTCATGCTTACACTAATCCATAATTGTTATTATCAATTCACTAAAACATCTTTATCCAACTTATTTGGCTTCTTCAAATTTATTGACATAACGTACGTTGACCGTTATAGATGAAGAAAATGTTTGGAATCTAGGCGAATAACGGAATCTACCATTATTGAGCGAATCTAAGTTCAGGTGCCGTTACATAATTAAAGATAGCAAATCTTTTCAAGAACGACAAAAAAGATGTCAATGACGTAAGCGGAAATTGGAATTACCCTCCTTTCCTTTTTCGGAAATGGATGGGGTGTTGTTGTCGCGGTGTTGATTACAATGACGTAACTTAGTAACGTATGTTTTGATTACGAGATATGTGATTTCATGCAGTACGGTACATTTAATTACAAGATACTAACTTTGTAAGGTAGGTTTCACATGCAACTAATTCTCCCTTTCGATAATTTTCTGGGAAACAAAATCATTACATACGTTACGTATATTTCTTTATCAAATTTTTGTAGTACGACATGCAACGTAAAATTAATCCATAAATTTGGAGATAATATTTTGTGTCTTACCTACTAATTAAAAATTTTGGTTAGCTTAATAATAATTAAGAGTCACTTCTTAAAATTAATTATTTAAACGAGTAAATATTAGACGATGATATAATCATTTATTTTGAGAGATGGAATGAATTGAATAAAAGTTAGAAGATTTAGTTGAAGACGATTACAAGTATTTTCCCTATAATTGGGCTTTCGATATAATTCAGTTCTTCCCTATAATTGGGCTTTCCATATAATTCAATTCTTCCCTATAATTGGGCTTTCCACCTAACTGGGCTTTCCATATAATTCAATTCTTCCTTATAATTGGGCTTTCCATATAATTAAATTCTTCCCTATAATTGGGCTTTCCATTTAATTCAATTCTTCCTTATAATTGGGCTTTCCATATAATTCAATTCTTCCTTATAATTTGGCTTTCCATATAATTCAATTCTTCCATATAATTGGGCTTTCCATATAATTCAATTCTTCCCTATAATTGGGCTTTCCATTTAATTCAATTCTTCCTTGAATTGGGCTTTCCATCTAACTGGGCTTCCCTTATAATTCAGTTCTTTCCTATAATTGGGCTTTCCATCTAACTGGGCTTTCCATCAAGGCCCCATTAATTAATAGTCTTAATCTAATTTAATTTAATTTTTTATGATTACATCAAAATCAGCTTATGAAAATCAAAATACAAACACTACACAATCCCAACTTACATGTGAAACTATTTGTACACTAAACATTTTTGTTGCATGTCAATCTAAATTTTCAATTTCTACCGATAGATCTTAAATTTTTTTATTCTGTGTCTACTACTACGTCAATCACAAATTTGAAATTAAAAAAGAAAATCTATTAGATATAAATTTGAATTTCATGTCTAATAAAAATCTAAGAGGAGGAGACCCAAAACTAATATTTGAAGAACACAATTGTAAATAATTGAGATTAAATAGATTAAATTATTTGAAAATGTGAGTGTATTTTTTAAATCAAATGGTGGTGATTTTAAGTTGGATTTAAGGTATTAAAAAGTCATTGGCTTCCATAACATGCAAACACGAGCATTACTTTAAGAATAAAGCATCTATTTGTTTTCTTAACGACCAAAAGTTGAATGTTCCATTTCCACATCATTTCCTTTCATAACCCACTAAAACTAATCCACCGTGAGTATGATTGTAATACTAACAAATTATTAATTAATAAAAATCAACTAAACAATTTTAGACTTAGCTTTCAATTCCTGGAGATTATATGAAGACACAAACATCAGAAACACATCTCATCAAACATGATTTCGGAAACTGATAAGAGATTATATGAAGAAGGAGGCGTGGAAGATACAACCAGCTTCCTCCCAATTCTTCCAATTTAATAAATCTGACATTGGAGTGCCTTTCACAACAGAATTTCGGAACACACAGAATTCAAGAAACGAACAACTTGGGTAATTCAGGATTCAATCTAAATGTGTATGTATTGATTAGAATTTATAGTCAAGTCAAAAACGGAAGTTTGACGGGAAAAATAAAAAACATAATGCAAATTTGGTGATGAAATTGATTAGGAAGAATTAATACTGCCGTACTGAACAAGCAACAACCTGCGCCCATTGTTTCAGCCTTGCTTTCACCGTCTGCGGATTCTCCCCTGAAAACCCAGTTCCAAATTTCCAAGCATCCAATCAGAACAAGAAAAACCAAAATTAAAACAATAAGATTTATATAATTTTCTCTATTCAATTTCATTACAGGTTGTAAAGAAAAGGGGGTAACATACCGTGGCTGATTATGGCGGCGGGGCTGCTCTGGGCGGATGGAGAAACAGAGCCGGACCCAGGGGAAGAACAGAGAGACGCCGACGAATTGGAGAGAGAGTGATTGTAGTGCTTATTGACGGCCTGGTAAAAGCTCAACGCCGGCAAAGTTTCACAAAGTCGAGGGTCCACCTCTGGCGAGTTGAATCCGAAACCCAACTCCACGCAGGCTTTGAGTTCTTCGAGGTCGTCGTCGGTCACGCTCTTGCTCCGCCGCATCTTGCTCTGGGCTTTGCGACGGAGCCAGGCATCCTCACGGTCGGCGTCAGGCGACCATGACAGCTGCTTGTAGAGTGGGAAAGGCCGAGCGATTGGCGGCTTACGTTGGTCGGCAGATCCCGACATGAAAGCACCGCCGGGGGTCCGGAGACCTCGCCGGAGTTGGATAATAGATGTAATTATGAGGGGATTGTTAAGAGAGTGGATAAAAGAAGGAATAAAGGGAGGGTCGGCTAGGGGGGTAGTGGCGGTGGGCCAGAGGGGAAAGACTTGCAACTTTAATATGGCTGGTCCTCGTCAAGCTGACCTGTCGCCGTGCTTCTATCTTTCTCCCCAAGTTTGGTTCGTCATGTTAGAATTCCCTTTGTTTGCCGCCGAAGAGTGTGTGAATTTGAACTTCGATAAACTTCACCGCAAATCACCTGCGAAATCTCTGCAGAATCAACAGCAAAACGATTAGAGGAATTTGGCAATAATTATTGCTGCTAACACGCTTACCATTTTTGTTTTGGTGCGTGGGGTTTATTTATTACCCCCTTCAAATACAAATTTGAAATCTAAATTTGGAAAGTTAAGCATTTCATCAACTTTTCAAATTTGTCAAAATTAACAATTTACCATATATTATGATTGAATTCCATGTTTATATTTTTTTTAGTTTTCGGGGTGTTTGTATTAGAGAAGTAATAAAGTTCATGTGGTATATTAGTTCGATGTGTACGATTAAGATGCGTACGGTTGGCCACCAAACAGTAGGAAAATATAGGGAAACTTCCGCACACTGCCGAGTTTATAATTACTTTCTAACACAATTAAATTAATAGCAGAAGTTTTGTTGCGGTCAATGGGAAAAGAAATCGAATATCAGGCCAATCAGGAAGATGGGGGTTACTTTCAAAAAAGAAGAGAAAAAAAAAAGGATTTTTCTTTTTTGGTGAGTAAATCTGAATGGGTGGCAAAAGCTGCTTTCAATCGAATTAAAAAAATTTGTTGAGCCTCCTTGATTGACGGCAGTTTAATAAGGCAGACCATTTCAGTCAATTCATATTTCAAATCGGTCAACCTGTTCTTCCTCATCCATGGATACATAGTTCCTTTCTATGGCCAAAAGTATTATTGGCAGACTGATACTATTTTGAAGACATCTCATCCGACTCCACGGGACATTATCTAACAAGAAAAACCTGAGTAAATAAATTGAGAAAAACATTTCACACCATCTCCAGAAAACCAAAAGTTCCAAAATGCAATACATGGTATGCATGGAAAAATTGCAGCATTTACACTTCATATCATTTCACTAAGATGAATGTGAAGCCGAAAGCTTAAGACATTCACTCTGGCATTTCCTAAGACAAATGTCATTCCAGTTTGGCACTTGATGTTGATTCACACAAACAGTGCGAGCACAGGCATCCGTGCAGGCATCAAGCTCGGATACTCCACACACAGTCACGCAAGTGTCGGGAATTGGGTCTTTTGAGAAAGAGCCTACCTTTTTCAACATTCGCTTTGATGTGCACACCCTCTCACAGACAAAAATGTCATCTGGATTCTTCTCCCTTCCCCTGGCGGTCTTTATTTTTTGTTCCTCGGAATGCCTTCTTTTCATTATGTATGCTTGCCCTGCAACTACTGCTGGAATAGCTGCCCCCAAGAGCGACCACCATACTTCCACCATCAGCTCTCTTCTCCCTTGATGCTGCACGAACAGAAAAGTGAAAGGGGAACAGAGTATGAATAGAATGACTTTGTTTAGAAGTCTCATTTGTATACGATGAAGTCTGTGAATTAATTAAAAGAGTTGAACCTCTAAAAAAAATTTGGCATAAATAAAATAAACAAAGCTGACAGAACTTATAACATCTTAAAGTTTTAAAATGCGTCTACTATTCACACCCTTATAAATAATGTTTTGTTTCTCTCTCCAACCGATGTAGAATCTCACCAAACTACTTCCATCGACCCAACTTTTTGGAAAACACCTAGAATATTTCCATCTACTATTTCCATCTATTGAATACTTTGATATTAAGGAAGCACCTTAGACTCCTTGGCAATCGAAGGATTGAAGCAATTTAAACTTCTGGACAATCTTATAATAATCTCTCTCAAGTTTTGGTTCGAGTTAAGCTTTTATTAAAATGCATCCCGAGTTTTAGGGACTTCAACTGATGATGGATGAGGATGAAAGGCAATAACAAAAAAAGCTCAACAACCTGATCAATCAAAGCCCTTGATTTGGTTGTCAGTTTGAGCTTTTTTTTTTTTTTTGGACATATTGAGTCGATATTATTGACCTACAGGAACAAATCCCTGATGTTGTGCTTCTCTAGTCCTTGAGAATGGGATGCAAAATATAGCAAGTCGATTCCTTGATATTCAATTTCACCGAGTAACCCATTATGAATTCTCATGAACTATTTATGAGACCACAGATAAAATATATCACTGCAGTTTCATATGTATCAAATAATCTCAAGGACTGGTTAAACTACAAAGAACAAACAAAATCTATGCCCATTTTCACTCATGCATCACAGAAACTCCTGCTCTTATATAAAACTTCACAGATTCTAAACATAGTAATGAAGGATTAGAAGGTGGGAGGGGCTCAAAAGATATAATCCAATCTTATCATCATTTCGATGGACAAAAAGCATTTACTCACTCGGGAATCCCAGTCTCGACTCGGATTGAACTGAAAGTCATTGTACTGAAAGTCATGGTCAATTAACTTACCCTTGTGGTGCATAATGCCAGAACAAAAAAATGCTTTGATACCCAATTGTTGTAGTGGAATACCACAACCAAAATGCTCTGATACCACTTGTTGTGCGCCGTAATTCCACAACCTTCAAAAGCTCTGATACCACTTGTTGTGCGCCATAATGCCACAACCTTCAAAAGCTCTGATACCACTTGTGCTCAAATGGCACAACCAAAGAGCTCTGATATCCAATTGTTGTAGCCCAAATGCGGAAGCAAAATTGATCACACTCACACACCCACAAGCAGAAATTAAACCAAGAAACACAAAGATTTATATGGTTCAAAGAGAAGAAATTCTCCTACATCCACGGGTGATAGTGTCACTATAACCAAAGTGTTTACCAGTGTATCTCTCACACTACAAAGTCTCTCTTCAGCAGGTGGAGTTGTTGACACGAGACTCTCAAACTCGGGTTACAAAGTCCCTACCAATTGCCTCTAGGCAAATACAAAATTACAATGACTTCACATGACTCCACACCTAACAGTGCTAGACAAGCTTTTATATAGGCATAGCAATACTAATTCTCATACATGAACCAAATGAGAATATTAATGTTATGAACTAAATGAGAGTTAATAACCAAAATAAATAAGAAAATTAATCAAAGTGGTTATAATCTAAATGAGATTTAATAATCAAAATAAATGAGAATTTTAACAATTCATCTCACGACAATTTACAACAATCTCCACCTTTTCAGAAAATTCCCAAGCAAATAACCGATCCCCATTATTGTGTTTCCATTGAGGTTCCCAAGCAGATAACCGATCCCCATTATCGTGTTTCCATTGAGGTAGTATATGCTACCTCTTCTAGTCCCTTTAATTATTGTCCAAGCTTAAGGAGCTACTTTCAAATTTTCTCATTCCAAAGTGATACGAGAACCATTCGCATCCAAAACACCAAGGGAAATCAAATTAAGAAATCTTAGTTAGGTACATACCTCAAATCGTACAAAAGATTTCTTCCATCTACATATCAAATGTTGTTGTCCAACTACTTGAAAACCGACCGCCAGTGTCATATATATTTCTAATTCCAAATCTCCATACAAGAAAACAATTTTTCATACCAGGTTGTGCAAGCTCAAAAATAAATTGAGCAACCACAACAAAACCCAAATGGACAGAGATTATCACAAATCTTAGAAATATGATTTCTAAGAACAAATATCACCAACAACTCATATAAAGATTTCTTCCATCTGTATGTCAAATGTTGTTACACAACTACTTGATGAAAATAAAATGGCGGTGTCATATATATTTCTTCTTCAAAATCTCCCAACAAGAAAACAGTTTTTTCATACCAAGTTAAAACTAAGTTGTGCATGCACAAAATTAAATTGAGCAGCCAAAGCCAACAAAATCTGAATGGATAGAAATTATCACAAATCTTGGAAATATGATTTCCAAGAACAAATAAACAAGCTTGTAATGAGAAACCTATCTTCGATAATTGATAGTGAATGTGAGCACGTCTAGTAGTCGATGAGGTTAAATCTTTCACAATACCACAACTTGACGCTCTAATACCACTTGTTGTGCAAAATAAATAACCAAAATAACCAACAAAGATTGTGTATATAGTCCTAACAAAGATTTCTTAAATCTTTCCCTTGGTGTTTTGGATAGGAATGGTTATCGTATCATTTTGGAACAAGGGAATTTGAAAGTAGCTAGGGGAGCTTTGGTGGTAATTAGAGGGACTAGAAGAGGTAGCATATACTATCTCAATGGAATCACGATAATGGAAATCGATTATCTGCTTGGAAATCTTCTGACAAGGGAGAGATTATTGTAAATTGTCATGAAGATGAATTGTCATAATTCCCATTTATTTTGGTTACTAAATCTCATTTAGTTTATAACCATTTTGATTAATATTCTTATTTATTTTGGTTATTAACTCTCGTTTAGTTCATAACCATTTTGATTAATATTCTCATTTATTTAGTTCATGTATGAGAATTAGTATTATTATGCTTATATAAAGGCTTGCCTAACATTGTTTTGTGGTGTGGGGTCGTGTGGAGTCATGTGAAGTCATTGTTATTTTGTATTATTCTAGAAGCAATTGGGAGGAACTTTGTAAGAGAGATGTAGTGTGAGACTATGAGAGATACACTTGTAAACACTTTGGTTATAGTGATTGGCTACCACCCGTGGATGTAGAGGAATTTCTTATCTCTGAACCACATAAATCTTTATGTCTCTTTGTTTAAATTCTGTTTGTGGGCGTGTGAGTGCGATTGATATTGCTTCTTCTTTTGTTACAACAATTGGGTATAAGAACATTTTTTGTTGTAGCATTCCGCAACAATTGGGTATCATAGCATTTGTGGTTGGGGTATTCGGCTACCACTATTGGGTATCATAGTATTTTCAGTTGTGGCATTCCACTACAACAATGGGGTATCAAAACATTTTAGTTATGGCATTCTGCTACCAAAAGTGGTATCAGAGCTATGAAGGTTGTGGCATTACCGCGCACAACAACTTTCTTCTCTTCTTTATGTATATACTCTCTTTAATTTGTGTTTTGCTAGAGTCAATATAAGCTTGAGTCTAGGGGAAAGTGACGTTCTCTGATTTAAACCCAAATAAAAATCAGGCAATTGTCTCTGGTTGTTCTTAATTCGATGAATTCGATCCAACAATCGAATTGAAGAAAGGAATAGGAAACGAAGTAACAGCAATAAAAAGATGAATCTTCTAAAGGAAAAGAAGAAAGAAATGGGAAACGACATAATGGCAACGAAAAATCCAGTTTAAATCAAACGAAAGTGAAGAAGATGAATGAAGGCAGCCAACAATAATCAGCTCAAAATGATAGCAACAACAGCAAACCCAGTTCAAAATAACAGGTTCAACAAATGTGAGATGAGAGATTATTAGTTTAAACAAACGTAAGTGAGGATTAATAGATGATTACATACCAAATAAACGAGCAGAGAGACCCAGAAAATACTGAGAATCGACGGAGACAGGGAAATTTCAAATAAGGAGCAAAAGCGTAATGAGTAGATGGCGACGGTAGCCGAGTAGTCGAGGGCAACGGCGGCTTAGTGCGAGTGAGACAAGAAATGCGAGAGGCAGAGAGAGGGAACGATGCTCAGAGTGGCAGTCCGACCCTAAATTGAAGAAACCCTAAAAACCGCCTTTTGGGCCGGTTTGATTCAGGTTAGGAGATTACCAATTTCTGGCACAGATTTTGGACGACTTCCTCTGAATTTTTATTTTTCCTTCCACAATGTTTAAATTGTAATATTTCTTAATGTATGATTGATAGCTTATTTAAGATTTAAAATTGATATTTATTTATTGTTAATTTAAATTAACTACTGAGGATAAAAATGTGCAATCCACAACCATATATCCCAAAACAAAACATAAAAATCAAACCCATTAATTTATGAGAATTGTGGGCGTTCTAGTAAAACAGTGTTTTCCGTTGTAACATCAAATTAATAAAACATGAAGAGCAAGAGATGTGAGTGCCCAAACTGCCATTACAACTAAGTCAAAGACATCGTTCTCATTAAACGAACCCTCTTTAGGCCCACAAATAATAACTATAGATAAGAACACAGTGTAATTTCATTTGATGCACGTGTTTGATAAGGTGTCGATTCCCTTTATTACACTCCTCTATCATGCACACCCTTTCTTCGATTCAATGTAATTAGACTCAAAATTGTTGAATTTACCTTTTGGATATGATTGATATGCACCAAAATGCTGTTTATTTATATGTTACAACACATGATATATTATTATTGCTTCTGCAGCAAAGTCAAATGATGGTGCCAATACACAAGCTTTAATTCAATTTCCAGTGGTTTGAATTTCTACTAGATTCTCACAACTCTTTCAAAAGAAATTTCCTTAAAAGAAAAAAAGATTCTGTGTAGGTTAAATTGAAATATGGTTCAGATTATTTCTGCAGGATACATGACTTGAGTGGCCAACATAGAATCAGCTTTTTGAGAGCTTTTATCCCAACTTTTCTCCCTCTGGCTCTCTCTCCCCCAGATAGTTTCAAGATTTAACTCAATTTGAAAGTAAGAAAATCCTTGTACAATGCTTGGATACGTGGATTCCATTCAAGTTTTTAAAACAAATGGCAGAAGGCAATCAGTCAAACAATCATATGATACTTAAAACTCTAAACATAAATCTTAAATGTGTAGCTGTCCCGGATGTGAAATTTCATATGATAGTATAAAAAATGCATTATTATTCCAGTGACTTTGGTTGAAATGAATGAACTTTTTGCGTGAAACTCCATAAGTAAACAGTAATGTGAGTGTAGCTTGGTCAAAACTTAAATGTGTAGCTCTGTAGTTGGGGTAAGGTAAGTTTGTAAGTGCAAAAGAAAAACGAAGAAAAGTAAAAGGCAAGGCAGATGGGACGTGCACCGAGGGGGTGGTGTTTTGAGTTTTGTCAGCCAAAGCATTGGGCTTTTTTGAATTGCCACTTTTGGTGTCAGTTTCCCTTTGAATTTTGAAAACTCTCTTCTGCATGGAATGTTCTTCCTTTCATCCTTCATCTCCCGTTGTTGTTGGAGTAATTTTCTGAACATTCTCACTACACACACACACACACTCACGCCTGTCCCTAAAACTATCCTCTCTACATATCAACCACCACTACGTGAAATGGCCATACTCTCCACAAGAACTAATATGTCACGATTGATTAAATTATTGATTTGGTAAGCCAACAACAACCAAATGTTTTCGAATAATGTATGATACACTAGTTTAACATAAAAAGTTTCTGCTTCTAAAACTCTTCAAATATGGGACTTCTGTCTCAAAATTGATTAGACTATTTTTACAACTAATTATCTTTTCTTTTTGCTTCCCAAGACAATACATGGGACTATTTTAATGACCTTATCAAATCCTAAAAACTATTTAAGCATTAGATCGTTTAAATTTAAGCACTCTCAAATATACATTTACTTATAAATATAAGTAGTAACTATCGATTATCTTAAATATTTAAATATGACGTTGGTTTATTGTATTTAATTGAGCAGTCACAAAATTGCAAGTTTCTTCTGGATTTAGAGACCAGTTTTGGGATTGAAATTAGAAGGGCAAAGACAGTCATTTTGGGTGATGTAGAGGGAAGGGAAACGGGGAAATCCAAGTACTTTGGGGGGCAAATGAAAAGGGGGAGAGTGGGGTGGGGGGGCCTCCAAACGTAAGCAATTTTGGATTTTCCACCGTTGTCTAACTCTCTCCAGGCATCTCTGATTCTCCCCCCACCAAACTGCTCCCTGCACAAATTTAACACCTCAGCCGATTTTTTCATATGCTTAAATATTATAAATAAAACGGAAAAAAATATACATAGAGTAATTTCTTGATTTAATTTTTATGCGTTGGAAATTGAAGTATTTAAATAAATAGAAGTCATAAAGAATTATCATATTAATATTATATGAAGGTAGAAAAGGGAGTGTTAATTTGAATATTTTTCTAATAAAAAAATAAAAAAGCATAATAATAATGCAAGTAGCAAGCTTTAAAGTTTTGGTTTAGGTTTTACATGCCTTGATCTTGAAGCAGGCTGTGGGTAAAGCAAAGCGCACTCCTGGAAATAAAAAAATAATAAACTTTAACCTCATTCTTTAATGACACGCATGAAGAGATGCGTACTCAATCCCCATCGCACCCCTTAATTTATAGCTTTTAACTGTGCGTGTGCATAACATTTGATGATTGGCTTTGGTAAAAGTGGGTACCAACCCCAAAGTGATCACCACACACGAGTGCCCCAATTTTTTTCACTTTTCTTTTTTTTTTTATTCAATATTTTCTTACTACCGTTAAAAAAAATATTTTTAAAAAAGGTTGAATCAATTTATTAATGTCAACCTCCTTAATCTCATTCAACTTACTTTTCTCAAATCAATCTTCATCGGGAAGACTCGTGTGCTTCTATGTCTCTCTCCCTCTCCCTCTCCCTCTCCCTCTTTATTATTATCATTATTATCGTTATTATTGTTATTATCTTTTTATCATACCTCTACCACCTACGCCTGTTAGTTATATTAGATGTTTGACACTCTTCCAACAAATTAATTAATGACTAATTAATCATATTTTAACTTCCAAATACGTAACTACTACCATTACATCGAAAACCCAAGCTTATTTTTCAAAAACCTATTTTCTATAATTTAATTCATTCAAATAATTTTGAATTATTTTCAAATTTTGTGTTAAAAAAAACATATTTAACGTGAAATTATATGAAAATGATAGTCATTTATTTGTGTTGAGCTTTATGTGAATAAGGCAAACAAGTTTTTTCGAAAGCACTATTGGGACATGAATTATTGAATAGACAAACTCAATCCATCTATTTCATAAACCCGCATGTCGCGTGAGACAAGAATAAAGGATAAGAAGAAAAAAAAAATTATCTTTTGTTACATAGATCAATAATTTTTTTATGAATGGATCGGTGGTAGTTAAACAAGCATGGACATGAACTTAATACCAAAACTTACAATGAAGTTAAAATAAAATGATATTAAATAAGTTTTTTTTGGAAGGAGAAAAGAAAAGGAAAATAGAGAATCTAATATTACATTGGTGCTAGATGAGTGTGGACCAAGAGTAGATGATGCATGTTGACTCTGGGTAATGACCAAATAAATTATGGCTCCAAAATTCGAAGTCCTACTCACGTGTCGAAGTCAAGAGCTTATGTACGTGTGGTGAGACATCCCTCACTTTAGAAACCGAATTGAATTTATTGCGAAAAAACTCTGCGATCATAATAAGAAACAGAAACACAACCTCAAGACATTGGGTTTCTTTCATAGACCTTTCAGGATCAGGCGGTGGTCCGTCCTTTGGCCACAACAATTGAAGCAACCAATCCCACTCACTCCTTCACTTCCAACGACAAGTTTTTGAAGAAACGTGGTGACCACATATCGCATTTGAATTAATAACTCGGATACCTATTGTGTATTTTGGGTGGGGAAAAAATGGACCCAAATCCCATCTTGTAGGCTAGAAAAGGCTAGTGGAAAAAGACTTGAGAGTACAGCAAACACCAAAGCATGGGTTTTAGAGTGGACAAGTGGTTCCGCTTTAGGTTAACAATGGTGACTTTCCCTGAGACTTTTGTAGCTTAAGAAAATGTTTGGTGAGCTTTGTATTTATTACACATTTTGGTCCATAACCTAAAAGCCCCTACAAATCTATTTCACTCTGCTTTCTTCTCGTAGCTACCCTAACTTTGGATCTATTCCCCCCCCCACTTCAGAAGTCCTTGTGCAACTTGCAATGCTGGCTTTCATTAAAACTCGTCTATTAATATATTTTGTTTATAATTAAAATCAATTCATAACCAATATTAAAAAGAAGAAAAAAAATCAACCATAGAAAGCTGTTTGTCTATTTCTTGAAAGCTTTTTTTTGACTCAACACTTATTTGTTTGTTTTTGCTCCAAATCAATATTAATTCAAACGATAGAAAACAAATCTCTTGTGCTCATTAGTCATTTCATTCCTATGTTAATGCTTATAAACCTATTGATAGCGATGAGTTTGTAATGAAATCATGTTCAAATTTATTGAATACTTATAAATTAATGTATTATCAAATCAAGTTTGGTTTTATTCTAATTGGTTTAAAAGGTGACTTTTTGAATAGTTAGATGTCTTAATCCAAATTTTAAATTAATTAAACATGTTTTAGCTTTTATTCCATGCTCACATCTAAAAAAATGATGGCCAAAACAATGGATTTGTTCGTTAGATATTGAGAAAGTCTTAAAATAGTTAACAATTATCCTTTTATATAAATAATTTTTTACTACTAAAGTTGGCGGGAAAAATATATTAAAAAAAGGGTGAATATATTTATGAACATTTATTTCTTTATCTAATAAATATGAATTTTATCAATTCAACCATCATCGAATAGATGCAACACCAAACATCAATTTCATTTAAAAAGTTGATGGACATTATTAAACAATAAAAATGTAAACTATCCATTTGCGTCTAACAAATACATAATCTATATGTATGTATATTTATTTATTTATTTGGGTGGAACTATATTTCAATTGATTTTTTATACTGAATTAGTAAAGTATTGTTAAGAAGTAGGAAATATTTTAAAGTTACATGGTTTTCCTAGAAAGGGCCATTTTCAATATCCACCAACCAAATAGACATATCTTGTTGTAATTTTGTGAAAATGACATATTTCCAGCTTCGTTTATAAGACGACTTCACGTGTCAATCACATGTTTCTTGTTCTTTCTAGTTTATGCCATTTCATTCAAATCTTATTTTTAATGAAATGCGATACCATCTGTTTTTGGTATACCATAATATTGATTTTTTTATGTAAATAAATTAAATCGCGTTTTAAGAAAGAAAGATGTGATCCACAAATGAAAAGAGAAAACGTCCAAACTCTCCTCCCTACAAAATTAAAATGACGTTAATTATATATATAAATTAATAAAATACAATGACAAATAATCAATAAGCTACTCTAAAAAACTTTTTTTTTTTTTTTTGTTTTATTTTATAAGTTTTTTCTTATAGGCCAGTAAAATTTAAACTTATTTAACATATTTTTTTTTAAAAAAAAGGAATGAATATGTAGAGATAGAGATAAGTCAATTGGAAATAAAAATATGACTTATGCACGGTTTTCAAGAAAAAAGAAAAAAGAAAAAAGAAAATTGCACGATGAGGGGTGGGGTGGGAAAGGAGTGAAATTACTACGGTGGACTTGGGAATTAAAAAGAAAAAAATATATATATATATTAAAAACTAAAAAGCACTCCAATTTGTATGAAAAGAAGAAACCACTCGCTTAAAAAATCTGATCTGAGGGTGGGGTCCACTCCCTTCCCACATACCCCTCTCGCCTCTTCCAGCTCTACCTCTATAAGTACCTCAACTTCCTTTTCATTCCAAAATCTTCCCTTTCTCCCACTCACTTCAAATCCTTTCCTCGGCATAATATACCTGTTCTTCTTCTTCTTCTATTTAGTTCTGGCCCCCAATGGTGGACGTCGACCGCAGGATGGCCGGTCTCAATCCGGCTCATATTGCCGGACTTCGACGCCTCTCCGCCCGGGCCGCAGCTGCTCCCTCTGCCGCCATCACTCCTTCTCACCCCCCTCGCGCTGGCCTTCTCTCCTTTTCTTCTTTGGCTGAGAAGGTGATGACCCATCTGCGCAAAGCCGGCGTAGAGGTGCAATCGGGGCTTTCCGTCGCCGAGTTCGCTCGAGCCGAGGCCGAGTTTGGGTTCGCTTTCCCACCGGATCTCAGAGCCGTATTGTCCGCCGGTTTGCCGGTGGGTCCTGGGTTTCCCGATTGGCGGTCTTCCGGCGCCAGGCAGCATCTTAGAGCCACGCTTGATCTTCCAATTGCGGCCATCAGTATCCAAATCGCCAAGAATACGTTCTGGTCCAAGTGTTGGGGTCCGAGGCCCTTAGACCCGGAGAAGGCCATACGGGTCGCGAGAAATGCTCTGAAGAGAGCGCCCCTTTTGATTCCCCTCTTCAATCATTGCTACATTCCCTGCAACCCCTCCCTGGCGGGGAACCCCATATTCTCAGTCGACGAGAATCGGATCTCCTTTTGCGGTTTAGATCTATCCGATTTCTTCGAGCGGGAATTCCTATTTCGGAGCTCCGAATCTGATACCCACCTTCTCAAAAGGCATAGGTCCATCAGCGAAAAATCCGCCGCCTCCTCGTCTAACTTCTTGCGACGGAGCCTAGACACTGGAGCAAGAACACCGAGGTGGGTGGAGTTCTGGAGCGACGCCGTGGTGGATCGCCGCCGGAGAAACTCATCTTCGTCGACATCTTCCTCACCGGATAGGGTGTTCGAGATGCCGAGGTCGGGGATTCCAAAATGGGTAAACGAATACATCGAAGAAATGGGATCGACTTTGAGGGAAGGAGGTTGGAGCGAAACGGACATTTCGGAGATGGTACAGGTCTCAGCCTCCGGATTCTTGGAAGGAGCGATTTTATTAGTGGACAACCAGGCGGTTCTAGACGCTCTGCTTCTGAAAACAGATCGGTTTTCGGACGTTCTCCGTAAAGCCGGATGGAGCTCGGAGGAAGTGTCGTACGCGCTGGGGTTCGAGCATCGAGCCGAAAAGGAACGAAAACCCGCAAAGAAGCTCTCCCCACAACTGGTGGAAAGAATAGGGAAGCTGGCGGAGTCGGTTACTCGGGCATAGGACGGCCATCCCAACCCAACCCCCATCTGCCCAGATTCCTGATTGTGTTTGTTTTTTAAAATTTCAAGGTCTCGGGTTTGCATTTTTTATTCTCCCCTCCAGTCATTACTATTATTTCTTTACATATATCATATAATACACATATAAAATCATGGCATTAGGGAAAAGGAAAAACAATGAAACGGTCAAAGTTACAAACTTACATTACATAGTGTATCCCGTTCATGTATGTATATGAATAATGATGATAAATGAGAAAAGAAGATCTATTATATTATATTATTTTTGTGTATTTAAATCCAGCTCATATATTATACAATGGAAAATAGGAAGTTCCAGCGCACGTGTGGGAAATTAATTTTTATTTTGAATGGAAAAGAGACGTTAATGAATGGGTCCCTCTCGGCTTCTTCTCATCCAATGAGAAACACAAATAGAAGCAGAGAAATTAGAAGCAGAGAAATTAGAAGCAGAGAAATTAGAAGCAGAGAAAATGAAATGAAAAAAATACATAAATATATATATAGGAGAAAGAAGGCGCAAGGTTGGGGGGGAGAGGAGGGAGGGAGGGCGCGTGGGACAACAAATCATGTTATTCCATGCAACCAAAAGGGTGTCCGTCGTTTAGCGCAAGGAAATTAAAAGGAAAATCTTATCTTTTGGATTACATGGTTAGTTTTGAGCTGCCCAAATCTGGGTGTTACCGTCTGGGAAAATGAGCCAACTTTCTCTCTTCATCCTCCCCTCCCTCTTCCCTCTCCTTTCCTTTCTCTTTCTTTCTTTCTTTCTTTCTTTCTTTTGCCTACAATTTTCCCCAGAAAATCTCAGACATGAAAACAATAAAGCTGCCTCTTATTATACTTTTTGGCATGCGGTGGGTTCAATTTCGCCCATTCATTTTATCCCCCTACCTATTATAATCTTCTTCTTCTTCTACAATTCTAATTCTTTTCATTTAACCTGTTATTAACTTTTGTTATATTCAATATCGTCAATGTTTGTCTAAATTATTATTCAAATAAAACTAAAAAAACAAATGGAAACCTAAAGTCTCTGCTATTCTCTTTCAAAGGGTTGAAACTGTGAGCCGAGAGATGGAAAATTAGTCGCTGAACATTAAAATTACTCATTAATGTTAAGTGGTCCGATATGAATAATTCCTCAGAACTGGACCAATCAGTTCAATTATTGAATACTAGTAATTAAATATGACCAAATATAATGTTTCTCTAACAAACTAGAGCAATTACTATTTTTTAAATTATATTATTTTGTTTTTTTAATATCACATTAAAAAATGTAATGCACGAGATAATAGTAACTTGACGTTTAATATATCTAAGAAATTAAAATAGTTAGTTAATTAGGCAACAACATAAATAATAGTTGTAGAATGCAATGAAATTGTTCCATTCGATTGAAAAAGCAATTGGCAAATAATTAAGAGGATAGGCGTAGGGCACGGCAGTGAGTTCATGGATTGATGTTATTATGTAAGCAATCATTCAAAATTGGGTGTGGTCGGAAGGTCGGAAGGTCGGAAGGTCGGAAGTACTCCGTCCACAACCTTCAACAGTGGCACCAACAAGTTCCGCTTTTGCGGAGCCTTTGATTTTCCCGACCACGTGGTTGGAGTTCTTAAAGTTTGCCCTTTAAAATCAGATTCAAATTATCCTTTCCCCCGCCTTTGAGAATATAGCATTATTCAAATTACTATTTGGGCTGCCACCCCCACATATTACTATATGCTTACACAGAGATTTGTTTAATATTTTAGGCAGGTGGGTCTAATAAATAAAAAGTATTAATAATAAATAAAGTGGATGTTTTTACAAGTAGATAAGCTTGGACAGCCCATTTTAAAAGCGAATTGAAATAGTTGAGTTGGGGGGGTCATTATTTTACCACCTCCACATCCTTCTTCCCCCCTCATAAATACTCAACTTATTATTATTATTATTATTTTCTTAATTGGTTAATTAGTCCCAAAGATCCCCGGCCTTGTAAATCGATAAGGAAGTTAGTTGTATTTAATTTTGCAACGGTCGTTTCCCAATTTCCACCGCCAGTACAACCACTTGATCCGACCGTTACTCATCACGTGCCACCACCGCCCCATTTCTTTCTCCTCCTCCACGTGATCTGATGGCCACTGTCTTCTTTCTTTTAAATGCAGTCAAGGACGAAGATGCCTACAATTTTCCTTTCAGACAAAACAAATATTATTATTTAATACCACAAATGATTTAAATTGCATTAATCATCAATTATAAATGCATTAATAGCATTAAGACAAGAGAATTGCGGTGATATAAGTTTGATAAGAAAGGAGGGTGTAAGGGTAAGGATAATATAGGTCATTGGAGAGGACATGGTGTGGCCCAATGGGCCTGGCAATGTGGGCTCACCTGCTCTTGTGATCCAGATGAAGTTTGTCTTGTTAGATGAGGATCCAGGCAATAATGAGGGTGTGTTGGGATTTTGCTTTAAATCCTTGGTATCACACTTTAAGGTACACGAAAGACCTTAACTTTATATCAATTTCATTAGTTTTTAATGAAATGAAATGAAGATGATCCACAAAATCCATGCTTCTCCAGTTGTATAAACTAATTCATGCAATAATGAAACTATTGATAATTGGGAATTATGTTTTAAGTGGTCGTCCCTACTAGCCAGCAATGCGTTTCTTCGAATTATTATGAATATTGTATGCACAAATGGCAACATTATTGGGTTTCTAATTAATATGAAAAGGTGGAATTAATTAGAGTTTAAGATGTTTACACTAGAATTGGGCCAGAGCTTTCCAAATCCAGTCTGTTGAAGGAGGATTGGATGGGGGCCCAATCTAGAGGCAAGCAAAGCAAAGCAAAGCAAAGCAAAGCAAGCTTCATTTCTCCTTTCTTCTTCTTCTTCTTCTTCTTTTGTTTGGGTGTTCCTTAAAAGTGGGTGTAATCAAGTGTTTTTGTTGACAGTACAATTCATGATCGAAGAAGTAAAAACATGGTTGAAAAAGAATGGATAATCTACAAAATTATTGAACTAAAAAGGGTAAAAGTTAAAATGAGGAAAGAGAGGCGTAATGAAGTGTGTAAGAAAAGAGCGAGAGAGAGAAGTGTCTGTGATAGTCAAATAATTGAGGTTTTGTTTGTTATATAGACATTGCACATGTACCAAACCTCTCCACAAGGGATGTATGTCCCATTTTATTTTATGTCTCTCTGTTTTTTTCATCTCCAAATGCATTTCATTTCTTTATACGAATCAATGTTCTCTACTAATATTGGATTCTAGTATCTTTTCATTTTGTTCTAAAAATTTCTTATACAAAAAATCACGCATAAGAGGCATAATAAAGTTGAGCCATTAGGTAGATAAGAACCGAGTATCTGTTTAATAGTTGGCAGTGAATGTTAAAAAGGAGTATTCATGAAGTATTCACCGTATTTGCTTACTCAAAAATATTCCTGTACGTCACATACCCAGCATTGATAGAGACTGATGATGCATATTTTGGGCCCTCATGTCAAGCATACTCCCATTACTTTGTCTTCATTTGCACATGGAAATAGCTTCTTTTATAATTTTCAAAATATACTTATATTTCTAATTTTTTTCAAGATTCATTTCAAACTATGAATCCATAGAGCTCTGTAAAAGGAAAATCAGTGCCCTCGAGCTCTGTAAGCATATGAATCCATAGAGAAAAAGAAAAGAAAAAAGGAGGCCAAATTGCGAATGGCATGTGAAGGAGGCAACCAAACCCATATTGGAAGGTTGTTTTGTTATTTTAATAATTCATGTAGCAGAGCTGCCATTATTCCACAAAACAAAAAACAAATCTTTCTTTGAGGCAATTGAATCTTCCACTTTATCCCAATTTCAATGTCCCCTTGTTCTTTTCTTTTACCAACCCACCTTCTAAATTCACTCAATTCTAAATCTCTCCATTAATAACTCCAAATTTTGCTATCAAACAAACTCTTCATCCAAACCAAAGCTTACGAATTTCACCATTGATCCAACACCAAAAGGAAAAGAACATCTCCTTATTCGTACAACTTCTTTTCAACATTCCCATCATCTTCAATGCGAAGTTCGTCCATTTTCATACATTCTATAAATCTTATGTGATTCTCAATTTGGTTGTGTCCTTCCTTCGGTACCCTTTATTCCAATGCCTCTAATTCACTCCATTTTATAGTAACCGAAGGGAAGCTAGGCTCGCTGCTCTACGTCCTACCCTCGCGCCAAAAGGGAGGAAAGAGGAAAAAGTTTCCGAAACCCCCTACAAGCTACAGCTGTATGGGACAAAAATGGACGGAAGAAAGAACAGTGTCAAAAGCAAAATTCCATCGATAGAGACGTAGGGAAAAAAAAGCAATACGCAGAGACCCTTCTTACTGTTACTGTGCTGTACTGTTCATAATGAAGGAAAGAAGTTGCAGTTCTTCCCACAACTTCAGTGCGTTTCCAAGCCCTGGACTCCCAAATTACTGGGAGATCAATGTCATGAACCAAAGGGGGTGCAGCTCCGAGCGAATACCTCAGCCAAATAACAACGCCCGGCGGAGGAATGCCTCTGTCGCCGCCTTGACGCCCTTTTACGGCAGGACACTCCCCTCCAAATGGGAGGATGCCGAGCGATGGATTAGTAGCCCTATTATGGGCAATGGCTTCAGCAGGACTTTGCAGTCTCACCTACAGAGAAGACCCAAGTCCAAGAGTGGCCCTATTGGGTCGCCTGGATTTTCTAATTACTCTAACTATTCTCCGGCTATTCCCACTACCGAAAATGGGGGTTTCGACACCTCCAAATTAGGCTCTGCCCTTTCCACTGGAGTGTTAGTGGCTGATGGTGTTTCTATCTGCTATGGCGGTAGCATCGAAAGGGGACAATCCTATCCTGAGTGTACCATGCAACGATTAGCTTCTGCACCCAGATGGTCAGATATACTGAACGAGTCGCCACTACCAAGTTTTCAAGGTATCTCTTTCTTTTTCCTTTTATCTCGTGGGTAGTCTTGAGCAATCTGTTTCATTTTAGTTGAATTGAAGTTTATTGTCTCTAGTATTAAATGATGCACAGGTTGGTTGCTTGTACTAAGTTGTTAATGTCAAGTAAAAACAGTTTCTATATGACAGTGATTGAGTGGGAAATCAAGTATCTCTTGCTTTCATATCCGTTTAGATCACAATAATGTTAGATTGTTATGTTGGGATTAGGTTGTCTCTTCATGTTCATTCTTAATGATTTGAATGTTGGAGATCCATTTTGTTGAGATATTGAAGGTAGTTTGATTCAACATAGTTTTAAGTTGGGGATTGTTGGTTCTTAAGATGTTTTTTTTTTTTTTTTTTATGGCATTTGGATCATATCCACAGATGAAAAAGATGGTGGTTCCCATGAGGCTATGGATTGGGGCGTTGTTTCGCAACGAAACGTGGCAACCCAAATGAGCCCCCTGGACTTCACACCTTCATCTCCTCTGGGGAATGTTTCGCCTTCCTCTTCATCTCCTTCGACACACCAATCTATGGTCGGAAAGGAGAGTGATCATTGTTCTAAACAAGAAGTGAGAGATGTTGAGGTAGACAAAAGAGCCACAGTGATACAGAGATCCAAAGGACGTAAGCTCAGACTGACCAAGGAAGAGTTTCCACACCTAGAAAACTTGAATGAAAATGCTGAGGAAGCTGGAGCTTCATCTTTGGATATTGCAGAGGCAGCTATTCAGGTTTCCAAGTAAGTGTCCCTTATCATTATTTGAGAAAATCTTGTGTTTTACTCTTGTTCTTATTTGAATGAAAATTTATTTTTGAAGTTCTAATTTCATTCAACTGATCTTGAACTTGATCAAACGGTAAAAGAGTCGAAAAGGAGCTTTTTTTTAGTACTTACATATCAAGATGTCATTCCCTGGAATTGTCAGCAATCTCTTGACAATGTAAAAGTAGTTTCCAATGATACAAAACGTAACGTTTAGGTTGCAGAGAGAAGAAGCCAAGATAACAGCATGGGAGAATTTGCAGAAAGCAAAAGCTGAAGCTGCGATACGCAAACTTGAGGTAGGGCCACTTTTAGCCCCAAAATCTGCTATTTTCACTCTGTTTCATTGGAAAAAACTTGAAGAGAACATAAAGAAGTCGTAGAATATTATAAGAAGTTGGTCCTGGTTAAATTAGAATGGGAATGTAGTAGAACCAGAAGTAGCTATGTGGCTCGCTGATGAGGAACCTTGTTGATTCAGATGAAACTTGAAAGAGCAAGATCATCATCAATGGATAAGATATTGAAAAAGCTGAGGAAAGCACAGATGAAAGCACACAAGATGAGGAACTCGTCAGGGGGTGATCGGAACCAGAGAGTTTGCAACACTAACAACTTTCTCCCATTCCACAAGCAGGTGTGGATTGGTTCGCTCAAGCGTTGGTTCATCTGCCATGCTTCCTGATTTCTCAAGGTAGCATCTGGTAGTTTTATCGTCTTAGAGATTTACAGTAGCAGCGTAGCTTGATTGGTTCTGTGTCATCCTAGATGTTGCAAGCAATGTACAATTGTTGTAAAATAAGAAACTGTAGCTGGCTTTTGGGTTTGGGGCAGGTGCTAAAATTGATGTACTCCATGTTTTGAACTGCCATTCAAATCACATGGCAATTTTTTTTCTTTTAAAAGAAAAGTCTTCACTCAATTTTAACATCATACTCGCTGTTAAGACTACCTGTTGAACCCAAGCGAGTTGAATTAACATAATCTTGAGGACAATGAGCAGGAATTCCAGGCAATAACAAACCAAGCAACCTCACGATTCTAAAACACATTCTTTCCTCGTACTCCTTTCCCCTTCGCCACCCAATTGTGAAGCTTCTTCCTATCTCGAAACATGCATGGATTCTCATCAGTACCGCTCCCACGATTGAGAAATAGTTCTTGAATGGCTCTTCTTCCAGAATCTGAAAGCGCAAAAACAAAGTATATTGTTTAAGTTGTTAGAAAGGGTTTGTTTCATTCCAAAATGTTAGCTTCATTTACCTGCGCAACATAGTTCCAGTTGAAATAAATGCAAGGACCGAAGTGTTTGTACATCAAAGTGTTGTTGTCAAGGGGCAGCCGAGGGACCATGTCGAAACCATAAACGAATCTGTAGTAACGAATCTTGTACTGCGACAGTGATTTCACCATGAATTCTCCGAATTTGCTGTCTCCAACTCGAGGTTGTCCAAATGTATAAACTCCCTCTAATCTTTCCAGCAGCAACTTCTCTTCATGGAACGCCAAAATAGAAGGGAATAGAATGGCCAAAGCGCCGCCCAGGCTGTGCCCTGTCACTACAAACCTTGTTCTCTCATCTTCTTTGAGAAGTTCTCTTAGCCTCTCTCTTAGGGTGTAGTAAGCCAAAGGCCTTCTTTTATCTTCTCTGTCTATTTCCTTGGGCCATCCATGGGTCTTCTGCAACCCAAGTGCTTTCATGAATCCACCATGGATTTTTCCTATGCCTTCGATCTCGTACCAAGAGATGTCGAAGTCGGAGCTCCAGTCATCGGCATTGAAGGGCTCTGTGCCTCTGAAAGACACAATTATGGTGTCGTGATCAACCCTTTTATCCCGCATCATGAATGCTTGTGTTGAGCATTTTTCTTGATAGTCTAGTAAATACAAATAAGAACACCATTATCAATTATATGTCAGTTGCCGTTGCCTACAAACAGAACAATTATATATTTGAGAAGCAAAGCAGAAAAGGAGTAATTCTCTTCTTACTGTTCCAAAAGTTGAAAAATTCCAAGAACTCCATCTACATTTAAACAACAAAAATTATCAGTTAGAGAGCAAAACATTTGACTAAAAATTTGTTTCAAAAGTTTAGACTTTGTGATTGGTAATCTAATTGTTTCAACTAGCTCTTACAAATTTATTCTAAAATTTAAATAATTGGTAAGTGATGGAGTGCACCTTCCAGACATCGTTGACTGTCTGTAGAACATGTGCTTCATTCTCATAGACGACTTTAGAAGCCATCATGCAGAGAGCTCCAAAGTAGTTGACATCGCCAGGCTTTATGCTTTGGTCCAACGTTACTCTGCTATCCAAATGACCAATCAACGACAGGTACTCTGCTGATGAGCTGTCCGGTATTTTCAACTTCACTGCATAAAGAAGAAGAAAAAAAAGTTGGGTTTGTATGAAAACAGGGATTTGAGACGGAAAACAAAACCTGAGGGGGAATTACATCGCAAGATATTGAGGAGGATGCCTCTAAAGCCGTGGTTGGCAGACAAAACGTTGAGGGAGGACTCCAGGTAGAAGCCGAACAAGGCGAGTGGGTGGGCAAGAAATCCGAGGAGCTTGAGGACGAGAATAGAGAGAAAGATGAAGAATCTATGCCAGAAATTGTATTCTCTGGCGTGACTCGAATCTAAAAATCTCCTTTTCTTGAGGTTACTTGAAAACAGGAGGCGCCACAGGTCCAAGAATTTCTCCTCTTCCGGCTTCAGAAGCATATAGCTGTCGGAGAAGCCGTTGTTACAGTTATAAGCACGACGGGCAGCCATGGGTGGCGATCAAGATCTCGGACAACTCCCTGGATCTTCCAACGTTTATCTCGGTTCATGTTACCTTCTGTCGTCCACTATAAAAAGAAAGAAAGAGCATGCCACGTGTCACCTTATCGTTGTCCACCATAAAAAAAGAACATCTCGTGTAAAATGCTCCATTATAAATAATGTTCTACTTTTAATTAAAATTTTAGGTCAATTCTAGCCAGGTTCAATATTTTAATTCTTAAAAATTATATCAAACTAATTTATATAAACCCTTTGTAGCATCACAGCAATTTTGGGCCGTCCACCTTTCATTTTTCGAACTTAAAAGTTCCCTTTCTCATAGCAATAACAGATGGCCCAACACAGAAACTCAACCCATCAATCCCCGAAAGTGGATTGGATTCATCTGGAGAAGAGCCCAAATTCACACTTGGGTCATTTACTACTAATTTTGGCATGTTCTTTTTCTGTGAATCTTTACTGGAATTTCGGGAGTTTTTCTTTGCAATTAGAATCCCCATTTCCTCTCTGGGGATTGCCGGTTCGGATGTGTGTCAGCAGTAAACGTAATAGATTAAGGTCAGCATTGACGTCATGTTAATATGGATGAAAAGATGTCGTCTTAAATATATATATACCATAGTAAATCAAATCAAATCAAAATAGAAGTCAATTATATTATTGTACGGACACTAGGACTTGACATATTTTGTGGTTTTGTTTGGGTGAACTACAAATAAATAACCTAAATAACTTATTCCTCCGAATCACCTTGCCTCCACTCAAAATATCAATAATCCCAAATAAATATAGCCCATTCATTCTTTTTCCTCCTCCAAAAGTGGGAAAAAAAAAGAAAAGAATATAGTTAATGAATTTCAACGTTTAATTATTATGAATAAGAACCCAAAAGTTGTCCCAATCCAGTAACTCTTTCAATTTTTTCTTTTCACTAATAATGACGCTCTTGAGCCTGTGCATTCAATCTTTTATGTAAATTTTAATAAATTTTATTTGCAATCTCAAAAGAAATTCGTGACGGCGGAGGAAATCTGGAAGGCGTGGAAGAGCGAGAATGGATGGAGTCAAAATCAAACACGGCTGGCTGAGGGCGGTAGGACCCAGCCACAGCCACGGTGGCACAGTTGCGGTGCGGCCCACCCACAGAAGGAAACTTGTTCGAAACGGAGTCGACTCTTGTGGGGCACATTATTTGGGTTAGGAGATGTGAATGTGGACCGTCGGCTCGCAAGTCAATTAGGTTAATCAGAACATTGATTGGTGCCGCCTGTTCAGTCACGCACCGGCGGCTCTGGAAATAGGTTCTTTGCATCTGATCTATGAATCCATGTGGGTCTCCCGGACCCGACAAATCCGTCCATCGCCGAACATGATTATTTTTTATTTTTTATTTTTTATTTTTTAACAGAAAAGCAATTCTTACCCGCAGATCTTCTAATTTTAGTTTAATTATATATATATATATATTTTCACCTTTTAATATGCTTTCGTCTAAAAAATTATTTAAATGCATTTATTGCTGGGAGATGAATTAAATATTATAGCGTGTATTATGTGTGAATGTGATGTGTTTTTTGGGCACGAGTTAATTGCTTGCAGCATCAAAACATAACAATTACATACCCATCTAAACAGATTCAGCAACTGCTGCCATTTGTATAACGTGTAAAATGTCAACAATTTAAAATTCCTACCAGAAAATAAGCACAAACACAATTATCCTCTATTTATTTATTATTATTATTATTTTTGTTCTTTTATGTGAAGTGATGTGTAACAAAATACAATATAAAAACGGACCTTTTATTCTTCTTCCACTCAATACACACACACTAGTTCTATAGTACCCATCAAAATTAATTTTGAGTTCATAAATTAAACCCCTAACCAGACGGTGATGTTGTGGAGAAGAAGCATCGTTGTTTCAACACTCAAAATTATAATAGCTATATGGTTAGTAGCATACGTTTTTCTTCCCCTTTTTAATTTCCCCTCCCCCTCCAATTTTTAATATTTCTATACCTATATTTTAATTATTACGAACTTCTAGTACGTGTAATTTATAAGAGTGCCCTACGAAAGAGTAAAGCGTCCTTGTTAATTAATCATTAGGCATTCACTAAAATCATTTAGAATTTAATAACAAAATAGATTCATCAATAATAGATAGACTATTATAGATGTAGACATATAACCAAACTACTAACACGTATATACGGTTGGTTATACATAGATGTGGTGAGAAATATTTCCATATAAAAAATTCAAATCTGATGAGTAGGTGGCGAGACGAGTTTCAAATCGATAGAAAATAACATCATATTTGTATAATTGTTTTGTGATTTTGTTGTTCGTAACTTTTGGTGTGAACGAGAAGAATGTGAGTAGTGAAAGGGAAGAGAAAGAGGAAGAAAAGGAAAAGGGCAGAGACATTAGGAAGAATAGAAGTGAGGTAAAGAAAAGAAATAGAATTGCGTGGAGAAGAGTAAATGTTGGGTGAGGCATTTTGTCAAACAGGTTGTGTGTTAGAGTTGGAAGAGAGGGGGGGTGTGTGCGCGTGTGCGTGTGTTTGTGAGTCGTTATTAAAGTAGAAGAGAGCATAGGTGTGAATGCGTGTCCGTATCGTTATGATGTGAATCATGTGGTTGTGTTATTTATTCACCAATCTTCCGCCGACAAAATTTAACTTACTCTTCGCCCTCATCATTCAAAATGGTTCGGCCTTGGGGTCCTTCGTGGGCCGCTACCACAACGCATGTGACATTGTATCAAATGAATACAATATTTGAAAAAGTTGACCTCTGAATATTTAAACCTAGTTGGTTTAGGTTATATGCAAGAGAATGGCATAACGTATAAATGATGTATTACGCCCTTGTGAAAATTAGTTCTATTTCTAATACTCCGTAATATATTTATATTTAGTTTTTGCTGTAAATGCCAATGACAAATGCTTAAGTGACACGTGAGTTTAAAAAAATAGTAATGAGGGAGTTGGTGCATCCAAATCACCATATTCTAAACATTTTAAATTTCTACTTATTCATGAATTTTGTATCTTAGATTCTGAATTAATAAAATAATAATATTAAATGTGAGAAATAAAAAGTTATGATAATATTAAACGTGGAAAGCACCTGGGATGCAATTATGTTTCTTTTAGAATACTCAAAACTCAATCTTTTTTCACTTGCTTTCTAAGCTATTGGCATTTATATGTCTGTCACACTTCACCTTCATTTCCTTATTTCTCTTTATTCTATTTCAAAGTATTCCATAAATAAAATCAATTGCTAATCAATTTTTTTTTTTTAATGCAAAATTCTTTTATTTATATGAAGGGAAAGATTTTGCAATTATTTGAATGAGCATCACTTTTTGGTTAATGATTTTTTAAAAAAACTATTATTATTATTATTTTAGATCATTGCTTCCACTACATTGCGAAGGATGTTTACATAAATTCACATTTTATATTAAGAATTTGGGGATTTGTATTTGTTCTTATAATTGAGAATTTGAGATTAGTATAAAAAAGATGCCTTTTGTTTTATTTTACTTTATTTTTCTTTATCTAAAAACTTTATCTTTGATACTTCTTTAGTAAGCTTTTTTTGTTTAGATGACTGTTTAGTAGCTAATTTTGATTCTTTGCTTCACTCCCTCAATGAATGCTTACATATTTTTATCTCTTAGTTATTTATTTGACAGAGAAAAATCAATTATTTTCTAGAGAAATATTTAATTAAAAAAAGAAAATGGTATGCAGTTAATAAATGAAAGGGGAAAGAAAATAAACGTGACCTAAAAAAGGAAAAGTTTAGGTATTTATAAAGTACGATTAATTATTGGTGAAACATTATAGAGAAGCAATTGTAGATAAAGTCTAAATTAAATAATATTAATTGGAAGAAAGAAAAGAGGGTAACCCCAGACCCAGAGGGTTAGCTTAGGACAAAGTGATGCCCATAAATGAATTATAAATGTAATGCAGCGGAGAAATTCGGTGGCAGTTTAGTCATTTAAAGAATAAAAAAATTAATAAATAAAAATAAATACAGAAATACACAAGGTGCTCTGGCATTTAAAATCCGCGTGGGGTTCAGTAAAAATGTTGGAGGGACCACCATATGAACCACGTTTCCCAAATAACTCTCTTTATCTCTCTCTCTCTCTCTCTCTCTCTCTCTCTCTCTCTCTCTCTCTCCGATGGGAAAGATGTGAAAGAGCAAAAACAAAACTGTTTTCTTTCCGCATTCACTAAATATCACGTGCTCTAATTTTTCGCCTATAAAAGAGCGTCCTCAATAAGAGTTGAATCAAACTGTTCTTGCAAATTACGATTTTTCTCCCTTTCCATTCAACCCAGAGTCGCCAGCGATTCAGGCGTCCAAATTCAATTCAATTCATTCCACCTGCCCATGGACTGGATTCGAGGACATGAGATTGGGTGTGGGAGTTTTGCGACCATCAATTTAGCCATGCCTTCTAACACTTCTAATGCTCAGTTTCCTCCATTAATGGCCGTTAAATCGTCTCCAGCTGTCTCCTCTGCCTCGCTAAAGAACGAGAAGCGGGTTTTGGATCTTTTGGGTGATTGCCCTCAAATTATACGGTGTTTTGGTGAGAGCTGCAGCGTCGAGAGGGGCGACGAGTTGTATAATTTGTTTCTTGAGTATGCTAGTGGGGGTAGTTTGGCCGACAGAATACAGAGCCACGGTGGTTGGTTGCCGGAATTTGAGGTTCGGCGGTTGACGAGGACGATTCTCGAAGGGCTTCGGTATATTCACGAGAAAGGATTTGTTCACTGCGATGTGAAGCCTCGGAATATTCTAGTGTTTGGTGACGGCGAGGCTAAAATTGCTGATTTTGGATTGTCGAAGAAGGCGGGGAAAAACAGAGCAGAAACAGGGGAAGAGGGGAAATTTCAATTGAGAGGCTCTCCCCTGTACATGTCGCCGGAATCGGTGAACGATAACGAGTACGAGTCGCCGTGTGACATTTGGGCTGTCGGATGCGCGGTGGTGGAGATGTTGACCGGAAAACCCGCTTGGAATTTCCCAATGGAATCCAACATCTATTCTCTGTTACTGAAAATTGGGATCGGAGAGGAATTGCCGAAAATCCCAAAATATATTTCCGAGGAAGGGAAAGATTTTCTAGGTAAATGCCTGGTGAAGGATCCCGCAAAGAGATGGACGGCTGAGATGCTTCTGAACCATCCATTTCTAGCAGACTCCGGCAGCAGCTCTGTTCCATTGACGCCCAAGGACGAACCATCAACGTCGCCGAGATGCCCTTTCGATTTCGAAGATTGGGCATCAATTCACTCGCAAGAGGTGGATCAGAAATTCGAGGAAGAATCAAATTGTTGGTTGGATTCGTCGTGTCCGTGGTCGTGTTCACCGACGGAGCGGCTGCTTCAGCTAGTGGACAAGGGGCCAGTTGACTGGGTCATCACTGATAGTTGGGTCACCGTCAGATGATTTCCAATCACGGTTCGATTCGGGAGTGGACGCAAAAGACGGAGGGATATTTTGGGGTTGAAGAATTTAATTTTGGAAGATCTTCAATCAAAATGAACGATCCACAATTCATTTGATTCGTTGATTAGTTTTGATTTTATGTTAGTTGTAAATTTGGTGATGATTGATGGGTGGACACACGGTTGAGTTGATGGATGGATACACAAACTAAATGTGGGTGGTCCAACTCCAGTGTACATAAAAAAAAAAAACCATTTTTTTAGTTCATATATGAAATAATATATAACCATTCATTTCCAATCAAAATCATTATTTTTTATTAATCTTATATTTCAAGCCATAAAAAAAAAATAGGTAGACTCACAACAATATACGAAACCGTTATTAGACAAATTAAAAACGAATCAAATTGAGTATTTTAATATTATAGAAAGCAAATTGGAATAAAATGAAAGTAGAGACTAAAAAAATAAACCATGTTGAAAGTTGGAAGTTAAATTATAGTCAACTTAAAAAATCAATGTTTTGATGTTGTTAGGCTTTCCCGAGAAAAAAAATAAAAGAAATCGCTGAATAAAAATTTCCAAGTAATCCGCACTTTGTGTTTGAATTGATCAGGAAGGGGTTAAAGAAAAGTCCTCGCTTTGACTACAGATGAATTATAAAACGAAACTGGTAAGGTGTGAAAAAGGAACAAATTGGGGGTTGGAGAAGCAACTGTGCAATAAAAAATAAAAAAAAAAAAGGAACAAGGATCATGGGACTAATCTGAATACAACCAAACCAGGAAGCTTCACTTTGCTGAAGATTTCAATTCAAAGAGCGTGGATCATTTCATTCAACATTCAAAGTAAGCCTTATGAGACCATGGGGACCCAAACATACATAATACCCATAAAAAAAAAAAAAAAATCATATCATAAAATATAAAACTGTGAATGTGAACACCAATCATATATGAATATGAGCAACATATTGTTTTATTTTTAACCTGATGAGCGGTAGGAGCACTTATTCCTGAGGGAGATGGGCTTGTTCATGTTGGCAGGGTCCATGACCACGGTGCAATCCACGCTCTTGTAGAATTTGGGCTTCACTAACTTGCCCAACACATTCGCTGTGGACCGGACCGTGAATTGAAGGTTCAGAGGAACCGGTTCGATCGGCTTTCCATTCACGCTGCTCAGGCTGGCTCCACCTCCGTACAACGGAATGCCGCTTCCTTTCATGGTTACCACTATGGCTCGCTGGCTCTTCCTCCCTTGGTGGAACTTTTGAATCTGCATTTCCAACGCTTCCCATTTCATCAATATATATATTCTATTCTATTCTTTTCTTTTCTTTTCACTCAATAATAATCCATCCTCCACTTCACCATCTTTTGATGTTTAACAAATATCTTATACTAATGCTTATTAAACACGTTTCCTCCCTTTTCCTACGCCTCATTCAATAAACAAACAATTTGTTTTAAGTAAACATTAGAACTGAGTTGAAAATATAAATTTTCGATATAACATTGGGTAATTATTTTTAACAACAATGTTGAAACATAATGGGGAAAACTAAAAGTAAACAGAATAAAAAATAACAATAAAAAAGTATCAAATGGTGTTAATTATATTGGAATAAAATAGAAAGCAAGAAGCCAGAATTTAATGTCTGTATGCATAAGTAGATCTAGTGAATCCAAAGCATATATCGAAATTGTATTTTAAAAACAAGGCAATGTCCCCTTGTCTGATTCATCAACTAAAGAGACAAAGAAATGTATTGAAATGATTCACAAGCCTGCGCGGTGCAATTAATGAAAGAGTTTTAGGGTAGCGATTACATACGGTTCCAGAGGCAAGTGTGAGCTGGGAATACGAAAGCTGAAGCGGAGTGGAAGTGACATGAACGCCGAAGAACGTGGCCGTATTTCGAAATACGAACTTCACCGTCGCGTTCATCGTCGCCAGATCAGTCGCCACTCCTGAAAAATCTGCCCCCGCTTGGATCACGAACTTGTCAAACAAAATGCTCTGCCAACAGAAAACAGAAAACAGAAAACCATATCCATATCCACTCGTTAATCCATTTCCTTCCGTAAATCCCAAGATTAACCTTGTAAATAAAAATCCACTTACTTTCATGAGAATGGTAGGTTTCTGAGGCCGGCTGGCACCCCACAAAATCAGCGAAAACAGAGAGAAAAGAACCACAAAACTAATAACAAATGCAAGGAAGTAGCATCGGCGGCTAAACCCATCGGAGCTACCGTCGTCCTCGAGGAGGCGCTCTTCTTCAATGGCATCGAAGCGCTGCCACGGCTTGGGAATCTTGTGATTGGCGGCCTTGCGAGATCCGGGCTTGACGGAGGCGGAATATCGGGTGGAGGAGGAGTCACGTGAGTGAGGGCCCAACGAAGAGTTGGAATGCGAATGAGGGGGGGACCCCATTGGGCTGAGAACTGGGCTCGAGTGGAACGAATTCGTCGTCTTTTCCCCATCGTGCGAATCCCGTGACGGACTCTGCACATAGTACACCGGGCGCCGCGAGCTGGGCGACGAGTGCGTGAGGCTGCTAACCTCGGAGTCGGTCTTGGCCAGCACCACCGACATTATGGGATAGGGTGGAGTAAGAGATGAATGAGAAAGTGAGAGAAGAATCTGTCTTTTTATTATTATGGGAGTGAGTGAAGTGAAGAATAGATGGATGGAAGGAAGGAAGGAAGGAAGGCCAAATATTTATACCACGAATCTTGGAGAAGCGTAGGTGTTGGGAAAGCACGTTGGAGTGTGAATTTGTTTACAATGTCCAAAGTATTTTGTTGGAAACGAAGGGCTCTTCTAATTAAAGAAAGGGAAGGGGAGGGGCAAATTTTGCAGCACAGATCTGGCGATTAGAGACAAGTGCAAGATTTTGTGAGATTTATGGGGTTTGCTTCAGGTGGGCCTTTCGCTAACCAATCGTCCTTTCTTTGAGGTACGTTTATTATTTATTATGAATATGACCGATTGATTATGATGGGGGGTTTTGTAATGCATATCCAACCAACCTTATTCGTATGCACCCAGTTTCAACTCAACTATTGTCTCTCTCTCTTTATTCCATTAACTATTTCAGATTCCTATATTCATAAAAAAAATTGAGCTCATTCACCCTAGAATTTACATTAAATATGAGATTGCTATACTCATAAATCATAATTTGAACATGTTCATATATCGAATGTGCCCCTCAAACTTGACAGCCGAGTAATAATCCTCCATAATAAGTAAAATATATCACACCGACCTAAAATTACATATGTAGATTTTAATATTTATTGCATTTTTCCTTATTATTATTATTATTTTCTTTTTGCAGAAAACAGGCAGATCGCATCTAGATCTCTCGTCTCAGGGTCTGGACCTATCGAGCTTGGGCTGCCATTCTTTGAAGTGGGCCAGCCCAATAATGGCTTGGAAAAAAAAAAAACAAAATCAGTTCATTTTTGGGAAATTAATCTCTTTTTTTTCCTTTAAAATTCTGACTTGGTTTGGTGTCTAATTTTTGTTCTATTTTACGTGTAAAATAAAATTTTAATAATTGTGTTTATCACTTTCTAACTTTTTTTTTTTTTTTAATCTCTGTCACAATTCAATTTATTTTATTTTAGTCAACCCACGTTTATAAACATATGAATATAGGCTTTGATGTTAATGGCTCAATTAATAAAACTTTTCTGTTAAAATAATAACAAATAAAATTGTCATGCGGCAATGTACAAAGTTGACATTTTAATTAAGAAATATTAGTTTGTATGTATATATATAGTTGAACAATAAAATTAAATTTAAAGGGCTACTAAACTCCAAACTATAATTATACATGTCACGAAAATAGGATACAAATACAAATTTTACTGGATCAATAGATCCAACATTTCACCTTGAATCAAGCTGCGGCGAGTTGAGCACATGTGAAAATGCACCTCACGCGTGTCATGATCTAGTGAATTTCTGGAGATTTTTTACTTAATATTTTCTCAAACCATTTTGGAAGAAGGGAAAACAAGCTCTAGACCAACCTTTGAGTAAATAGTACAAATGTACATAATTGAGTCGATCAATTTATTTGCCCGTTTTACTCTACATTCAATTGAAGTGATTTTTCTAATTGATAAAGTCAATTATTGGTACGTCATTCTTTTGAAAATCAAGAAAACTAACTATTTAAAAAAAAAAAAAAAATCGGGACTGTTTCTCGAACTCTCCCCTCTGCAAGAACGAAGGTTGGTACCCCCTTCTTTGTATAAGTCCAAGAAAAATGAGTTTGGCATAAACTGAGTCTTGAGTCGATTGTCGTTGTTGATACCAGTCGAGCTCTTTCTTACCTATTGTTTTCTCATGTATTTCTACACACTACAATGAGATTGTTTGCTAATATACATACGTTAATCATATTTGAAAATATGTCATTGTTTACTTGGGATATAACTTAAAATCATTATCATTAGAAAAAATTTATCACAAGTAAAAAGTTCATAACTAATTGTTATTTACGTGTGATTGACAAAGTATGTTACTTATATATGAAATATATCATTATACTTGATGTTACAAATAAAATATGTAAGTTGGTTTAGTTGTGAGAAACGAAATGAGATCCACGACAAACAATGTTAGAAGAGGGCTTAATTAGTCGAATTGAAGAGTAGGACAATAATGTAGAAAGAGTAAGATGTGTGCTATTTTTACAAATATTTTGTGGTATGAAAGATGGGTAATTTAGGGAACATATGCTATTATGAGGAGTGAAATTGAAATACAGAAAATTTTGAGTATTTTCATAAACGTAAAATGAAGGTACAAATTCTATATTTAGAGTTTTATTTGAAGTTTGCACCACCTAAGGACGGCGGCAATATAACGATACTGTCAGTTACCCTTTTATTTTTTTCCTTCCAAAATGCAGCCCTAATTTTCTCAATTTCAGTTCAACCCTCCCTCCCTCTTCTTCCTTTATCACTCTCCATTCCCCTCTTTCCCTCCATCTCAGATTCCAGCTTCACCCCTGTTAAATCCACCACCCCGCGCCCGCGACCAACCGACCAACCGCCACCTCTTCGCTTCCTCCCCTTCGAGATCCATCGCTCCATTTGCGCTTCGCAGACTCAAGGTTCTCTTCTCCCGTCATTATTTCCTTTCTCTTCCTCGGTAAGATTGAATTTTTATTCACATTCTCTTTCTTTTCGGTTTCTTTGATTTACGCTCTCTCAATGTTCACCACCCTCCCCCCATCCACTTGATTTCTTTTAAGATCGACGTTACTTGCTGATTCTTTTAACAAATTTTTGGTGTTCAATGCTACCTTAGCTTTGGTCACCTTCTAGTTGTTACTTCCGTTTGAATTTACAGATTGAATATAATTGGCAGTGAGATAATTGGGAAACTAGTTCTCTTCTTGTTACCAATTTCTTTTTGCTCAATCAGATTGACAGTGAGGAAGATTCAGAATGAAAATCTATGAGAGACGTGTTAGATGGTTGATTTCGTATTCTAACATGTCAATTCTCAATTTAAATAAATTCCAGGACGCATCACAAAAATGAAGATAAAGGAATAATGTTGAAGGAAAACTGAAGTCTGGAATCACACTGACTTCCCTTGCGTTTTTAGGGCAAATAATGAGAATAATGGAGAATGTTCTTTTGCTCTTGAAGCATGTGTTCCCATAAGTTATTGGCTGCCTACAACTTCAAAAATAAATATTTTTTAAACGAAATAGGTGCAAGTAATTCGAGTCCAAATGTCATTTGTATTTCTTAAAATAAATGAATAGCTTTAGTTTTGCAATTCTTTTTTTTTTTTTAAACCTAAATCTTGATCTAGAATGCCTACAATTTTTCCAAGTAAGACACTTCGTATCTCGTTGTATCAATCATGTAGATCATTTTGCTTCCTTATTTTTAGGAATTGATTTTTCTTATGGTAGGAAAGTCATATGTCGTGATCTTAGACATTCTCCAAAACAAATAAATAAAAAAAAAATGAAAACTACTTAGAGTTGTTACTCACAAACTTGTTAAAGAAAATTATACTTTGTATAGATATAATGAAATGATTTTTCTATTTGGGGTTCAACAATGTAGGGATAGAGATTTGAATGTTTAATCTTGAGGAGAGATATGTTATGCCTTGCCTAATTGAGCTATGGTTATATAGAAATGAGTTGAATGACTAAGGTCTCCTTAAAAATGAGTTTGCTCACTAGCAGTCTTTTTGTAAAGTAATCTGCTGAAAAATAATTGTTAAGGTCTCTACTGCATGCGGTGTAGCCATCAGTTGCTTTTAATTGTTAAGCTCATCGTCTACAAGCTTGAATTGCATTGCATAAGACTTGAACACTATTATGGTAATTTGCACTCAACATGGACCTTATGACTTGTCCAACAAACACAAGAAGTTGCGACGTTTTCACTTATGGCAACACAACTCCTTTGTTACCTCCCTCCTGTTGTTTTCGCTATATCTATATGAAAGACCTAGTAGTCTGAGTCACAATTTGGTGATGCCCAAACTTTAGAACAGTGCCAAAGATTGAATTGTTTAGAAAATACTTGTAGGCATCTTGACCATCTGCATATGATTCCACTTATCAAAGGGGATTTGCTTTTATAGGACTGGATTGCAGGTCAAGAACTTTGGCTTAGAGTGATGATTATCTATTTAAAAGAGAGAGGAGAGAAGAGAGAAGAGAAAAGAGAAGAGAAGAGAGGAAGGAGATGAGAGGAGAGAAGAGAGAGGAGAGAAAAGAGAGGAGAGAAGAGAGGAAGGAGAGAGGAGAGAGGTCAAGAACTTTGGCTCATAATTTCTATGGATTTAAAAGAGAGAGGAGAGAAGAGAGGAAGGAGATGATGTGAGGATACGAAAGGGAGCAAGGAAAAGAGGGGGGAAAGAAGTCTTGGAAAATAGAACGACTAAAAAACCATGCTATTGAAAAATCTGCAAGTAGTTTGTGACAGGATTGGTCATTTAATGATAGAGACTAAAAGGAGTATTTAATAAAATATAGGAATTAATTTTCAGATCTAAAATTATGGAGAAAAAAAGGGCAGAAAGTTAATCCAAATTACAAAGGCTAAAAGTGTTTATTTTTTCAATAATTTATTAATTTGGAAAATCTAATTTGCTGGAATGTATTCCAATGGTTAATTTTTCTGATTAGATATTTGTTTATCTAATTTATACCCATGAATTCTTGTGCAAGCTTAACTACCTGTCTAAAGCCCAACATTTCTTGTTATTATCAATTTCTTGTTTTTATATATTGCTGCTAAAGTAGTTTGAATACATGCAGATATTTGATGTTGGGGAACATAAGGAAGGCAGTGCGTTCACTTCATACAAGCCACAGTCTTAGACATTTAGAAGTGAGGAACAGCAGGAAAATTGTTACAGTAGAGCCTCTCTTTCACAACAGATTGTTCTCACATTACAGATTTTTAGCCAGAGGACATGCCTCCTCCCCTTTGTACTCCACAATAAGAAGTTTAAGCTGGACCAGGAATTCTAGAAGTATCTGGACAACCAGTAATGTTGTTAAACGCCGTGCTCAATTTGTCTGGAAAAGGCTTTCCTCCAAATTCTCTTCCAATGGCCGTAGTTTTCCCACCTTAAATGAAGTTGCTCAAGCATTCTGCTTGGCCATGTCTCGTTCTCACCTGATGGTTCCTGGTATATTTGCTTTTACATGTGGAGAGCTAGCATGTGCCCAAAGAACTTTCTCAAACGTAGACCACTTTTCATCTCAGAATTCTTTCTACATCCGTGCACAAGATGGACACGCCTATCTGATTGCACTACTATTTTCTACTTTAGAAGGCATTATATTATTATTTAGAGCGCTTTATTTGGCAATGTTGTTCTCACCTAGCATATTGATGGCTCCATTTGCGGATGTCTTTGGATTTCACTTCAGGAGGCTCTGGCTTCGGGTTGTTCACCGTTCTTTGGAGAAAGGTGGTCCAGCATTCATTAAATGGGGTCAGTGGGCAGCAACACGGCCAGATCTTTTCCCTAGAGATTTATGCATAGAGTTATCAAAGCTTCACACTAAAGCTCCAGAGCACAGCTTTGCCTACTCGAAGAAAACTATAGAACGGGCATTTGGTCGAAAGCTTTCTGAGATATTTGAGAATTTTGAAGAACAACCTGTTGCATCGGGAAGTATTGCTCAAGTACATCGAGCTTCTTTGAAATATCGATACCCTGGTCAACAAACAGCGCCCATGGTGGTTGCTGTAAAAGTCAGACATCCTGGCGTTGGGGAATTGATTAGAAGAGATTTTGCTATAATTGATTTTGTAGCAAAAGTCTCCAAGTTCATTCCTACTCTCAAATGGTTGAGATTAGATGAAAGTGTCCAACAATTTGCTGTTTTTATGATGTCTCAAGTTGACCTTGCTAGGGAAGCTGCACACTTGAGCCGCTTTATTTATAATTTTAGACAGTGGAAGGATGTTTCATTTCCTAAACCCGTGTATCCACTTGTTCATCCTGCTGTTTTAGTGGAAACTTATGAACAAGGGGAAAGTGTTTCACACTATGTTGATGAGCTTCAAGGATATGAAAGACTCAAGTCATCATTGGCACACATTGGGACACATGCTCTTCTAAAAATGCTTCTGGTAATATTACTTGTATATTATTTCTGCAGCTTCGCAGACTGCTTTTCCTCTTTCTAAATGATTTTGATTTATCTGCCAAGAAACCATTCTTTTCTCTCTTTACCTCCACATGCACTCATAATGTCAGAAATTGTAATTTCTTGGATGTGTTTTCATTTTACACTGTTTTCCAATTCCAAGATGGTTTCTTTAGTTACTTGAGTGTTGCTCGTTTCTTGATGCCAAGGAGTTCAATTTTTTTTTTTTTTTTTTTTGGTTTCAGGTGGACAACTTTATACATGCAGACATGCATCCCGGAAATATCCTCGTCAGAGTGTCAAATGAAAAGTCCCGTCGGAAGCGACTCTTCAAATCAAAGCCTCATGTTGTCTTCCTTGATGTAGGCATGACTGCTGAACTTTCTGGAAATGATAGAGTAAATTTATTGGAATTTTTTAAGGCAGTTGCTCGTAGAGATGGCCGTACTGTTGCCGAACGTGCCCTCAAATTAGCAAAACAACAAAATTGCCCAGATCCAGAGGCATTTATTGAGGTAAATAGTGTGTGATTATTACTTTTCATAAGCCTTTAGAATAATTGTGGTTTAGGTTGTGGAATGCGGAGTTGAGCTTTTAAGGGTCATTTGGTAACAACACTGTGTTTCTTGTTTTTAGAAACATGTGTTTGGGCATTAGTTCTTTGTTTCTTCTATCTCATTTCTAAGGAACTTTCTTTAAATTGTATTCAAATTTTTTAAAATAAATTTTTGGTTTCTTGTTTCTTGTTATTTTTTTAAGCATCAAAAGTGCTGTTTTATTGGTTTTTACTTGCAAAATGAAAAATACTAATTGAAAGTAAAGTGACAGAATAATTCTTTAGAAAATTGATTCTCAAATAGGACTTCCATTCCAACCATTTTCTTTTTTTTCCTCACGAATTTTGTCGGTAGGTTTTTTGTGATAGTATATCTGATCTCCTGTTTACAGGAAGTGACTGAGGCGTTTGCTTTCTGGGCTACTCCAGAAGGTGATCTAGTTCATCCTGCTGAAGCCATGCAGCAATTACTAGAGAAAGCGAGACGTTACAGGGTCAACATTGATGGAAATGTCTGCACTGTGATGGTGACGACATTAGTTCTTGAGGTAACTTAAGTCTGCTCTTGCTATATTGACAAGATTGCATTTATACTACAAAATTTCCCCCTTCTTTCTAGGAAGGATGTATTTTAGAGTGGGAATTATTTTATGATCCAATGACTGTCCCCAATTGGGAAGCACCGGTACATTTCTGTGATTACTTATATTTCTCATTTGGATATAGGGTTGGCAGCGGAAACTTGATCCTGCTTATAATGTGATGGAAACGTTGCAAACTCTATTACTGAGAGCTGATTGGGCTAAATCTCTTTCCTACACGATTGAAGGATTGATGGCCCCGTAGAATGAATGATGTTTTTGTCTGTCTGATCTGCTCTGCTCCAACAAAACAATTTTGACGATGTAAAGGGAGAAGTTACAAAGTTTCAAGTTAAATATGTTGTTATTTTATAGTTCAATATTGTATTCTCATAATTTTTTTCCACTAAGCGTTTAAATTTAATTTTTTTAAAGCTCAAATATGCGGCAGACGCGGTAGATAGAAGTATAAAGCAAATAATGGGATGGGGTAAGCAACCCAAGATTGTTTTGATTTTACTGTACTTGTCAATGTAAAGTTTAAGAGCATTTGTGCTGCTGGTAAACAGAAGCAACAACAGGGGAGAACATATAACCTTCATAACTGTTTCTCTTTTGTATTTGATTTCCTACACATTGAATTAAATAAATCATTCTCCTGAGTTTAATAGAGTGTATATATGTTTGGCAGTCCACTTGCACTCGGCTAAACTGATACATGTCATGTCGATGTCATGTCGCGTTTGTCCTAAGCTTTTCTTGCTCGACATGCATGGTGATGGGCAATGTTGGAATGTTTCCATAAATTTCAACAATCTCCTCTACTGTCGTAAAATTGACGAATTCCAACACGAGCTTATTACTGTATTTGAATATAATAGTTAGCTTAGCTTTAGGGGATAATCCAATCCATGGTTGTCCTTTCCATCAAAATACAGAACTCATAATTAAAGTGTTTCCAGTGCCACTCCTTTTGGCATTCGTACCTTAAATGAACTAAAATAGCAGGGATGAATATAATAATAATAATAATAATAGTTAACTTTTTTTGTTTTTTTTAGGAGAATTATATTTAGAAACTTGTTGTAGCATCAGAAACATGTTTGACTATGAATCAGAATAGAAAGTAGAGATAAAATTAGATTCCAGTTTTACCGAACCCGCTGTTCTTCAACCGCAGGATAAAATAAAATGGAAAAATCCGACCCCAAACCTGAAAATGCCAACAGAATAAGCCTCTGTGATTTATATAGAAGCAACACCAAATCAAATCATACAGAAAAGGGTCCTTTCAGATACCGGAGACTTCAGGTTCTCTCCATCGGAGGCTTCCCAGAAATGCAGGCATGCCTTTCTTTTCTCATCTCTCTCTCTCTCTCTCTCTCATTTCTCTTGCATTCCAATTCAACTTGCTCTTCAATGGTGGCAGGGATTCAAAGCAGCCATTTGTTTCCAATTTCAACTTCTGTTTATTTCACTCTGTCTCTTCACCTTCTCCTCCTCTCTCAAGGTTTTCGTGTCTCTTCTCCGTTTTTGTTCATCGCTACTAATCTCGTCTCTCTTCCTTCCCTGACAACACCTTCTGCCCCCTTTCAGATGGGAGAAACTTGCTCCTCCGGCGATGAATGCGATTCCGGTCTTCTTTGTAATACTTGCCCTGTGAATGGAAATACGCGCCCTAGATGCACTCGCATCCAGCCTATTAGTCCGACATCCAAGGTCGGTCTCCACAATATATAATCGCCTCTGATTTTGAGTTTCGCAGGGAGAAATTTCGTCGATAATTTTGCGTTGTGCTTGTATTGTTCAGGTAAAAGGGCTGCCATTCAATCGTTACTCATGGCTTACGACTCACAATTCGTTTGCTCGTTCCGGTGAGAGATCTGAGACAGGATCGTTCCTACTGACGCCCACCAATCAGGAAGATACGGTCACCACTCAACTAAATGTGAGTTCTCATTCATTACCCTCTCCTTCAACCTCTTCCGCTTTCATTTTTCCTTCTTTAAAATAGAAACATAAATCTTCAAATTTCCTTCCAACCAAAAAGATTTCTGTTTCTTTGTTTCTTGACGGAACCGGCATACAAATTAATTTTTTAAAGAAATCAAATAAAGTGGAACAATCTTATATTATTTACGTGAGTAATCTTTTTTAAACGTGGAAAAGCGGAGCAGGTGGACCGTCCCTACCTGCAAATCTCTGAGGCCGATAAAGAAATTGGTGGATGTCAAACTATGATCCAGTTATTCTCACTTCGACAATTTTAATACAGAATTTGTGGTTCTATTTTTTCTCATGATTAATATGATGAATTTGTAGAATGGAGTTCGTGGACTAATGTTGGACATGTACGACTTTCAAAATGATATTTGGTTGTGTCACTCCTTCGGTGGCCAGTGTCTGAATGTAACTTCATTTGTAAGTGCTCTGCCTAATTCTTTTAATAAGTTTGGTACACATAATTATGAGGTACATTAATCATGAACTAATAATTAAGTGACTATAAGTGAGTTTTCTAAAGAAGGTGATACTGTTGACTTCCTTCCAGAAACCGGCAATCAATGTTTTGAAAGAAGTTGAAAAGTTTATGGGAGCAAACCCAGAAGAGATTGTCACAATCTTCATAGAAGACTATGTGATGTCTCCACAACGCTTGAGAAAGGTGTTCAATGCTTCTGGACTAGACAAGTATTGGTTTCCCGTTTCCAGAATGCCTCTAAAGGGTGGGGATTGGCCAACCGTCGATGATATGGTGAAGCAAAACCAGAGACTGCTAGTTTTCTCCTCTATGCAATCGAAAGAGGCCTCAGATGGCATCGCTTATCAGTGGCGCTATGTCCTGGAAAGCCAATGTAAGCTCGTTCTATTGTTCATTGTACTTGTGTGTGTTGTTACGACTCTTATGGCACTTAAAAAGCGAGACCGTGGGATGCATACTCAGATGGAAATGAAGGAATGAAGCCTGGATCTTGTCTGAACAGAGCAGAGTCGCCTTCCATGGATACAGCAACCATATCCTTGATCCTCCTCAACTATTTTTCTACTAATCCCAACAAAACGGCTGTTTGTTACGATAACTCTGCCCCATTAATTAGCATGATGAATACTTGCCATCAAGCAGCCGGCAAACGGTGGCCAAATTTCATTGCCGTTGATTTCTATCAGGTATCATTTTCCAGCGAGTTTACAGTACTTGCCTCTAAATTTGCTCTTCATTTGCTCGAGTAGGACGGAACTGAAAGAACGGGAATTGAGTTTCTTTTATACATTTATAACTTCGGTACTTCCGTTCTTTTGCTTGTAGAGGAGCGATGGTGGAGGTGCACCAGAAGCTGTGGATGTAGCCAATGGCCATCTCACTTGCGGGTGCAATAGTATTGCCTATTGCAAGGTTTGTAGCCTATATTATGAGGAAAATAAATATATACTCTAAAATGCGTTTGAATTGAAGAGAAATAGATGCATTTAGTACTTGAAAAATGTAAAAGACCTGATGCGATGGCATTTGAGAAATGGGGTATTGGCTGACGGAAAATTGAATGGATGAGCAGGGAAATACAACAGGCGTATGTGATAACCCACCGGTTTCTCCCCCTCCACCGGCTGCCTTGGAAAGTCCAGTTGATGCGGGGGACTCCGATGGCGCACACCCTAATGGCAGACCAGTCGAGATCAGTTGGTTGCTTGGAACAATTTTGACCGTGACACTGTTCTTACGCTTCAATTAGTGGGTCATTATTCTGATAGGCTCCCTTCCCTCCGATAATATTGACAACCAGTTTATTGGTTCCATTCTTTTTACTACGTATGCAAATTATAATCTAAAAATCAAATACTTTTGAGAAATGTCCAATGATGCATACAGCTGGATAAAGAACAAGTCTCATGGCATTTAATTCTAGTTATAAATGCATTAAAATCATCATCAATAATAAAGGGCCAAGTCTGTCAAAAAGGGATGCTCAAATATTCATTTCTATTTCGAAATGGACCACTGGTTTTTTTAGAGAGACAATATCATAGCTGTCAAGTAACACTTTCCTGGGAGAAAATGATAGCAAATTCATGTTACATGGAGCAGAAGGGACCCCTTAACTATTATGCCCAATCAGGAAACTGTTATCACATTCATACATTGTTGATAAACTGGATACACTTTATAACCTACAAATTGAAATTAATGTTTATAAATGAACTATGGATGCTCTACTTCAAATTTTTCCTATTATTTTCAAATTTCTCATTATGAACAGTGAGGGAATGGAACCGACAGTGTAAGAAAATAACAATATACCTTAGGCTTGAGTACCATCTTCCGAGGGGCATTGACGACAGAGACATGAATTGATTTTATCTTCAATGGTGTAAGGACTGCAATGGAAACTATAGACAGCAAAAATGATGTACATAATGGGATTGACATTGCTGTGACCGTGTAGGGCAGCTTCTAAATGGAGGATCTGGCATTACAGTCACGAATGACAACTCGAGTGTCCCAAGCTGAAAAGGTTGCTGCTACTTGTCCAGATTTGATCGACTTATCTCATTGTCGCATACTGAGTTCATCCACATTGCTGCCACCTAATTCTGTTGCCTGCCTCTCATTTAAACCATCCTTCACATTGTCTTGTGAGTTCTCTGGGTCCTTCCCAGCTTTGCGATCCTAAGGACAAAATTGCAGACTTGTTTAATTATGAATATGAAACACATTTACCTGTAAGAGGTTGGAAGAGATAAATGGAGCATTCAATGAATTAAAGGCTGTGTAATTCCCAACTGAAGTATATTTCTTAATTTCCCAGTAGTTGGAATCTCGCTAGAAAGCATGAAACGATCAGATATATGTTCCGCTTTCGGCGCACAACAATATAAACCTGTGAACTAATGAATTCTTACGAGGAAAGGAATCATTTGCTAAGTAACATGAAGAAGTGAGTTAAATGACTACTAGATTTGCATTTTTCACAAATTAGGAATAAGATTTCCTTTGCATACAATTGTGCAACTCCTAACTTTCTAGGTATCGATAAAACGATCCAAGATATATGTAAACCAATAAATGAACTTCAAGTAGAATTTGTTTCTTACCCCTTTACACGTAGCCTCTTCAGCTTCAAGCATATGAATAATATGTCCCATTTTTGGCCGTTTCTGAGCATTTGGGTCCACGCAGCGTAATGCAACAAGAAGCGCCCGCTTTAATGCTCTCGAAGTAGGCTTTTCAGAGAGCTTTGGATCCAATACGCCCTCTGGATTCCGGTTACTGACCATTCTCTTAAGCCAATCGATCAAGTTCACCTGTAAAATTTAACCTCTGCAAACTCATAACCAAATAGAAGGAAAACGGAAATCTGAAGAATAGTTTATCCAGCACTTGATCATGAATTTTCTTCAGAGCATGGAGCATACCTCATCTGGAGGACGACTATAGTCAACCGGGTTCCTTCCTGAGATTATTTCCATAACAAGTATTCCAAAACCATACACATCACTTCTTTCATTTAGCATGCCCGTACTTGCATATTCTGGCGCTACATACCTGGAAAGTAGTATAAATCCCATTACAATCTCTATATTTACACATCAGAAACCCAAAAGATATGTATATACACACATCCCAAGAGACATGTACATACCCAAATGTTCCCATGACACGGGTTGTAATATAGCTGTTATCAGAGCATAGTAGCTTTGCAAGCCCAAAATCTGAAACCTTGGAATTCCATTGCTTATCAAGTAAGATATTGCTTGATTTGATATCCCGGTGAACAACCTTCGGTTCCAATCCCTCGTGAAGGTAAGCTAGCCTACATATACAAGCCATAATACATCAATGCCAAGAATGTAATGCAGGCCAGGAACAGGTGGATGGAGAAATTCAAACTTGTTCAATTGAGTTGAAGCTAGACAATACCCTTTAGCAGTTCCAAGAATGATATTCATTCTGATCTCCCAGGTAAGAGGACTGTAAGATCCTACTTCCCCATGAAGCCATTGTTCCAAGTTTCCATTATTTATGTACTCGTATACAAGCATCCTATCATATTACATGAAGACGAAAAGGCAGATTTTAGGACGCAACTTTCAACAATCAACATGAAGAATTAAATGCAAACAAACAAGAGAATAACAGAATGAGTACAGTCTAATCTTTAGAATTGTAAGCAAGCTGAAAGAAAAAAGGCAGCAAAGGTATTTGGGCAAAGAATAGAGTACCTATGAGCACCTTCAGCACAGTATCCCAGCAATCTAACTAAGTTCTTATGTCTGACTCGTCCAATTGCTTCGACTTCTACTTTAAACTCCTTCTCGGCTTGTCCTCTACGAAAAATATTATTCATTAATGCAAGTCTCAGTCCACAAACTAAGGCAGAGGAAATTAAAGTTGAAGAAATAAATGCATAAAGACTGAAAAAGGGTACCTATTGTTTAGCAAATTCTTAACAGCAACCTGAGTTCCATCCTCCAATATGCCATGGTAAACAATTCCATACCCACCTTCACCGATTACGTTATCAGGGGAAAAACCATTAGTCGAGGCTTCAAGCTCTCTGAGAGTGTACCAATGCCCCCAACCCAAATGCGAAACTTCAGGCACCACTATAGGCAACTGATCGCCACCACATCGGCCCTCTCCACTGCCCTGCGAGGAAGACGACCGACCAAGTCGCTCAGGATAGGAAATCCTATGATCCTTCCCGATATCAATATGAATTCTATTCACTCGATCTTCCTCCTGAGGCAACGAAAGCAACGCTTGCCGCTCAATTCCAGGGATAATCTCCGGCTCTGGAAGAGGGTCGACCTGAAAATGGGGTCTAGTTGGCTTGTGTTCTTGGGTTTGAGCGAGGGCATGATCGATTCTGATCTCTTGAATTTCTTTGGAGTCGACTGGAATTGTGGGTCTGTGAGAAATCTTCCTGCGAGAGCGTTTGGAGGCAATCCAAAGAGAAATTAGAAACAGAAAAAGCACAAAAGCAGCTCCAACACAAACCCCAAGTACAACCCACAAGCGTAGGCCAAAAATAGAAGTCTGGTTGGAGAGCTGGTCGGTCATGGAGCCTGATTTGTGATCAGACATTCATCCTAGCTATCCAATTTAGTTTCACCAGAATCACAGAGCTCCTCCTACACACCCGCCCCCTAAACCCAAAGAATCGAAGGGATAAACTTATAGTCGGTGGTCAGAAGAGAGTCGCAAGAGAGGCGAGAGGCAGTGAAAGAGAAAGATGAGTAAAGGAAGAGTAAGAAGCAGCTGGCATGATGGGACCTTTTGGAATCCATAAAATCGCAATCCCAATTTAGTGTTTTGTTGGTATTCCCACTAGAATTTACGCGGGTAGAGAAATCCTTACGAACTTCATCAAACTCTGCCATGCCACGCGAGAAATGGCACTCATTAAATTCATAATTTTGTTTCAGCTGAATCTCCTCCGCACAAATATCGCCTTCGGTGGGCGGATCCAATCTCCCAAAATAGTAAACCAAGTATGGATCACCCTCACCCTCATTATTTCATTCCACTGCTCCACCCTACGTCTAAAAAGATTTGACTTTTTGACCCATCTTCCATTCATTACACAATAATTTAACACCAATATTAAATAGGAACATTTGGTTTAATTTTATTTATTTAACGTCCAACAAAATCTTTTCTTTCTGCTGAACCTTCAAGATAACGACAAATTCTCTAATAAAGTTAAAAATATATATATATGAAAGTTCACTCATTTACATTATTATGCGATGACTTTCTGCAATTTTCATTTGTCTCTAATTAATCGTCTATAGCTAATAAGTAGAACATGCCCATGCCTTGTGAAAAAGTTGATACCTTGAATGCTCTAAACATTTGTGACGTGCCCATCCTGAAATGTTCATATTGTGAAGTTCAAAGTTAATTATTTTTAATAGCTCTAAAATCGAGATCTTTTCTGGATCCAAACATATTCTGTCAAAGGCAGATTCCATAGTTGACTGAGTGTCAAAAGTATGTTCTTGACTGCAGAAGCTTAAACTGATTAGGTGTTAAAAGGTATTGGGGATGAAAAATCAGTGAAGAAAAGTGGAATTAACTACAGGTTGTCTCCCTTTACATGTTGATTCAAAATAGATGGGTTGGAATGAAGAGTTGTCGAAGGAGCACTTTCTTTAAAGTATCACAGATGATCGAAATATATATATATATTAGAAACAGGAAACATGGGTAAACCCAGAAGATGGATGAGAAAAACGATTCAACCCATGAAGTAATGATGAAGAAAATTCACTCAGAACTTGAATGCAGAATTGTACAAGAGGGGAAAACTGTGCAGATCCTCTCCATGATTAACCAGCTCAATGCTTGCGAATAGTTTTAACAGAACGTAGCCACAGAGAATGTCAACAATCTTTATCATTGCGGCCCTGTTGTTTCAGTTGGTCTTCCTGTGTCAATGCTGGAAAAATATGCGAACCAAAAGTAAGGAAAATGACAGAAAAACAAAAGGAACCAAGTTGGATTTAAGTATATTTACCCATTGAAAAGGGAAGGGAATACATGGCTGTGCTCTGGAGTGTTTAGAACCACACCTGACCGGTTGCCTTCAATGATGCACGGTTCCACTGAAACGCAATTCTGCAATTCTTGCAAATCAGGCGCTGCTATGTTATAGGGTAATGACACTGCAACAAACAAAGCAAAACACAGTCTCATTTTGTTGATTCTTATGAAGTCATGGAAATGGAGTATTTACGATCAGATTAAGCACCAAAGGGAGTCGTCTCCGATTGAGTCGCATTCACTTGGTGATCTCGCCTTACATCTGTGCCAATCTCCTTCAAACGCTACATCCAAAGTTCAAGCA